AACGGCGTTCTGTTGCTCAAGCGTCCACTCGCACAAATGCGACCACAACATTTTAACTCTCACATTCTCAAAAAATGATCGCATATGCGACCAATTTGGTCGCAGTCTGGAACCCTGTATGCAATAATAATATATTATTATTATTTCAACAATTTTTTTTTTAGTTTTACTCTGCCTATTTTTCTACTCCATTTACTCTTGACTGATCCGATCAGTAGCTGAAGGACTGGAAATATCAGTTGTTTTAACCATTCATTAAAATGAATCGTTTCAAAGGAGTCATTAATTCGCGAATCGGACGCGTCATTATCGGATGTGTTCGTGTTGTGTGATTATTGGGATTATTCCGGCAGCAAGGACATCCATCCCTCAAGATTTGTGTCAACACAGAAAACATTTAATCACTGGATAGGTTTTTTCGTTTATTTAAAGTGTGGTTTATGTCAGCTGAATGTGCGGAACGCTTTTCAGAGAAGATAAGGTATTTTGGCTCAATTCACACCCAGCGGTAATAAAAAAAATAAATAAAAATCTGTATACTCCACATGAAACTATGGTCTTCCGACCTTTTACCATCGTGTCGATTTATTTTGATTAATATGTGCCAGGGAGAGAGAGCAAGACAGCGCTTAGGAGACGGTGAAGCCTTGTTTATACTTTCGCCTGGCTCCGAAGAGAAAGAGTGCGCGCGTGCGACCGGGGCTCTCTCTCTCTCGCTCTCTCTCTCTCTGCTCGTTTTTCAGTTGCGCCCTGTCACACGCGCAGCAGTTCAATTCCCATCCCTACTGGCAAACACAACAAATCCGAGCCCTCATGAAAGATATTTTATAACATTACAAAATGCAATTGTAATAAACATTTTATTACATTACTATTTTGGTATGAACATTCACCCCCCAGTGTGGCGGATAGCCTTTTGAGATTTACTCGCCAAACGGAAAAGCATTTGGCGCTTGGCGGGTGTTAATTTCGGACCCTGTGTGGAGCGTTGTTTTACTTGGTAAAAACAATATAATAGCTTTGTTATTGTTTTGAATAAGCGACCTCTAGAGGCGAAACTTACATACTGTGCCTTTAATTCATACTGTGCCTTCAAGTCTTTAGCTTTATATAGTCAACAATGAAAAACAAAAGAAAATTAAACAAGCAACTAATTTCCAGGAGAAACATGATATTCAGTGAAACTAAAATGTAGAACTTGATATTATCTGTTGGGAATTGATTGGATTATAAAAAGTGGGCATTACATACCATAATAGAGTCAGGTGTTTCTAGGAGAGGGGTTGAAGATTAATAGTGATCTGTGTTGGCAGTCTAAATGTTTAGATTGTATAGACAATTTTTTTTTAATAGTCAGAGTAACATGGATTGATGAATTGTGCACAAACAGATCTTCAAAATCATGTATTAAAAGCTAAAATATGGTAAATATTGATTGCATGTTGATTTCATGTTGGCTTAAGCAACGTTCATGTCTTTAAGCCTGTGCAAATGCTATGTTTGTTTGTGTTTCTGGAAGACACGGAGTAAAATCTGTTTTTAAGTATAAAATGAGGTCAAGGCGGATTTATTTAAATATTTAATGGAAAAACTGCAGTGGGATTCATCACTGTTATAGTGAATCTTTTTAACATCCCATTGAACTGCACTTTATTATCTCACACAGTTACATTCAGTACTTTCCAAATTATTCTGATCCTTTGTGATTTTGCTATGGCTAATTTAACATGTTGAATTAATTATAAAAACTTTATATACAAAAAGGAACCGTGCTCCCTGAACTGTACATGAAATATTGCATTGTTTGATTAATTGCAATCAATTTAATTAATCTCTTAATATTATAAAATTAATTTGATTAAAATCGAAATCAATCGACAGCCCTAGTTTTTACATAACAATAGAAAAAGCTCTAAATTGCTCTGCTCTACATGAAACCGGCATATGAGAGTGACCCCAATCCCTCCCCCACCCCATGTGTATGTAAATTTGTGTCCACATGTGCGAATCTGCTTCATCATTATTCAACCCGAGCAGCCGCGGTCATGTGACTCTGTACCCGGCAAGCTGCTGAGGCTGAGAGGGACCGAATGAGAGAAGGACATAAAATGGATTACAAAGAAGTGTGAAAGATTAGGGATGACAGAGCGATAGCAAGCCAGGAAGGACAGGACGAGGGGGATCTCAGATAATCTCAGATATAATGTCACACCTCAGCTGCACACAGGAAGATGCTTATTAATATAAAGAGGATCAGTCCTGCGGGACACACTGTTAGCTTTCATTAGTGAGGTCTGAACACACAAGGGGGCGCGATCATGTGTGTGTGTGTGTGTTTGCACAGGTGTTATCTCGATCAAAACAATGTCAACATTTTTTTCCCCTCCATTTCTATTAGAGTAACCCCTCGTTATGTGCCGTTCTAATGACGTGTTCGACAGACGTGCTAATGAGTTATCCAAACATCTGTGTGCACGTGTGTCCTTCATATCTCCTCCAAGAACAAGATGGAGAGATTAGGGCTCATTTTGATGACATCACAGGCAGACTGAATGGAGCTTCCCATGAGTCTGCTGGGCTGAGTTGCCATGGTAATCTATATAGTTCATCCTGGATTCCCATTTATGGTTTCCTTGCAGGCATGAGTGCTCCGCCACCACCTCAGACCACACACACACACACACACACACACACACACACACACACACACACACACACACACGCACGCATCACAGCTCAAGAAAATGACTCACCATGGCAGTGATGCTCTGTGATTGTTTCTTTTATTAGGCAAGCATCACTGTTACTGATGCTGTGCTTTAACTTTTAAGCATCTTATCTTTTGCTTTGAATTTTGGTGCATACCTGAGTCATACTGTATATAAACTCACTAAAACCCACTAAGGAAACCTAAGCAACCTTATACGTCCTGGCATCCACTGGATGTAATAAATGTAATCTAGTTGGAGTTAATCAATCAGTACAACCTTTATGTAATTAAGAAATTAAGAGTGCTGACAGACATGATGGGCAACAGTCGGGCTCTGGAAGTAAAAACTCTATTCAGAGAAATTGATTTTGAACCATAACTTTTAAACCTTTAAAGGCAGACCTACTGTGAGCTATGAAGTTGTTAATCCTTAGTATTTGCCTCTGTTGAAGCCGTCAGCCCGAATTATTTAAGTTTAATTTTTTTTGTAAATAATCGTATGTAAAAGCGGAATTCCTGGTGAAAAACTACATTACCCATGATGCTGTCCAGAAAATTACACCAATCGGTGAATCGGAAAAAGCAACATTTGTTGCTTCAAATCAAAGTTTGTAATGCTATGATTCACCTCATAGCTGATTGGCTTGGTTCATGGCTTATAACTCTTTAACGAAGACTTTTTGAAAATCCCTATGGGAAAAAAGAATGGAAAAAATACATCCGAACCAACGCCGCTGAAAAAGGTGGCAGGAACTGTTGAACTCTAGGGTTAATATGAAACCTTAATGATTCCTTGTTTCCACATATATCCACTGTTGTTGTCAAACCAACCAAACTTGCAGCATATGCTGATCTCTCCCATGATCCCCATTGGCTCTCTCACATGGACTCCCATATGTTTGTTGGGATTTTCCAGCACACAATATAATCTTCTCCCATGTGGTCCGTGTCTCATCCGGCCTGAGTTCTCCTTGTCTTTTGTGCTGTGAACAATCTGGTCTTTCTCTTCTTATGGCCCTTAATGTCGTCCATCCATGCCATCGTTCTTTCTGCACTCATGTACAAGCGGATCATCTTGCAGTCATCTGTCCCTTTAAAATGAATTGCTTTGGTTCTGTTGTGGGCCGTAGCCAGATGTTACTCTAAAGACATGCAACTGATTATGTGTGAGCGGTTATTTACCCTGCTAAAGAGAATGAGTGAGTACTCCATCTATTCTGGACTGTGGGTGATTTGGATTCTGAGCCACAGGCTAGTGAGACTTTGGCTTCACAGGGGACCAAAACAATGTCATTTATGTTCTGGGGACAACTAGCGGCAGGCCACATTAGTCGTCATGGAAACTGTCTGCCAAGGTTAGGCTCAGGCAGACGGCTGCTTATTTTGGGATGTCATCCATTGGTGGTGTGAGAGGGAACGAGGGTCTGTCTGTTATGGCCTCAGTGTGGCATTTATTAGGAGTAAATGATGAAACATTGATCATTAAGTGTATATTTTGCCCTGGAGACATGAATGGACCGGTGTCGTAAGTATGTGGCGTCAGTAAAACAAAGACAATCAGGGGAAAGGATTCTGACTGGTCCTGTTTGAAAGAAAATAGATTTGTGAAGAATGAGAATGAAAACACTTCAATGAGCTTGCGGTGTCCAGCAATTGCTTTTTAAAAAAAAAAAATCATTTGTGACTCATAGAGTCCAAACCTCCCACCTATGTGCATTTGTTAAAAGTGCATTTGTTAAAAACAAGTCAAGTATGGCTGCAATGACTAACCAATGAATCTGATAATAACATTAACGTATAGTATGTATACCTGTACACACCTTTTCAAAAGTTTGGGGTCATTAAGAAATTAATTATTTTGTTCAGTAAGGATGCTTGAATGGATCCAAAGGGGTACAGTAAAACTTTTAAAGTTTTACAAAATATTTCTATTTCAAATAAATTTCTATTAATCAAAGAATCCTAACAAAATATATTTTGCTTAACTGCTTAAGCTCAACTGTTTTCAACATTAATAATAACGAAAAATGTTTCTTGAGCAGCAAATCATCATATCATGTTTGTTTTTTTTACTGTATTTTTGATTAAATTAATGCTTTGGTGAGCATAAGAAACTTCTTTTAAAAACATAAAATCTTACAGACTTTTGAATGGAATTGTGTATGTGTTTATATATGTAAAGTTTGTTCTGTTTGTTTTTCTGCTGAGTTATTTGTCAGTGGTCATCTATAAGAGAACATGAATTTTGTATGTGTGACTGTGTGTTTAATCATTGTGCTTTGTTTTGCAGCGAAACGATGAGGAAGCTGTGCTGGACAGGGGTGGAACTCGCTCCATGCTCAACACGAATTTTGAGAAAGAGGAGCTGGAAGGTAATTGAAGCTTTAACACACACTCCAAACCTATGAGTCAAACACACTGCCTGATGAATTATTATTATAAAAAATAAAATTAAATGATGCTTAAAACATTAATTTAAGTTAGTTAAATCAGCACAATATGTTCAGAATAGTCCATTTTTAGCTTTTTGTGCAATTGTTGCATGTTGTGACTCACACCTTATAGCAGTAGAACCTTTCACTCACAGCTAAAATTACAACAAATGATTTCTTATGTATGTGTAGTCTAAAGGCCTCTGGTGAATAAAATGGGTAAATTCCCTAATATTACCCCAGTATTATTTATCAAAGCAGCATAAAGTTGATTCTGGACATTAATAGTTCAAGAAGAGCAAGTTTTGTGCACAATGCTGCGTAACTGATTACATGTAATCTGGATTACGTAATCAGATTCCAAAAATTAAGTACTAGTAATTATATTACATTTTAAAATATTCGTAATCAGACTACAGTTACTTTTTTATTGATTACATGTTATTCTCACAATTATTCATAATTCATTGATTTTCCCTACAGTACCTGTACTACTTATTTTTTATCTTTTAAATTTTACTTTCTAAAAAAAGACTACCGTTTATGTACGTTCAGAAGGTCTGTGGAATTGCACACACAGATCCGCCACTAGTCATGTGCCGATCATTGAAAACCGAGACCCATGCACACAGCATTTGATTTCAACATTGCATATCTAATCAGCTCCTGACGAACACATTATTTATTGTTTGAATTATCACTCAGTGAGTCATTTAAACATGTTTTACTGTCTTTGGAAGGCTTTTGTCTTTCAAATACATTAAAATGTACAAATTCACATAATTTCATTTACATGCAATGCAGGAATTCCCCAACTTTTTTGTCAGCTGAACCTCTTTGACTTAATATATTTACTTGAAGCATCCCCTGAGATTTTAAGTTTATAAGTTTGGTCAATATCAGGGCTGTGCTCAGAATATCGATACAACGATATATCGTCATGAACTCTTGGCGATACGCGTATCGATACAGCAGCTGCCGTTTTGATACTTTTGTGCTTTTGAATGTAGCCAATTCAGGGCTCCAATTTCGGCGCGGGATTGCGCATAATTTGAATAATTCCCGCAGTTTATAATGCGGGAAATTCCCGGAAACATTGATTCACTTTAGCATGTAGGTTGTAGTATTAGTAAATGAATCCACACAGATTATAAAATCAAATCAGTCATTTTAAAACTTTCTGTGAGACGCAATTTCACAAACAGCGTGAGTTCAATGCAGTGCTGCGTCTCTCTCTCTCTTGTCTCGGGCAAGCGTCCAGCGCTGCAGCCGGTGAAACTACACGCTCACGGTTAGGAGTCGGGACATGACGGAATATTCACTTGCATAATCGGGCCATCGTGACTAAAGTTTACCATTTGCACGTCTTTAAGTCTTACCAGTTTAAACGTTCAAACGATTTTAAACTATTCAGTACTTGCGCGCTCTCTGAGAGTTGGTTTTCTCTGCGTGCATACATAGAGAGTAAAGCCGCCTCACATACACTACAGCTCGCGAGAAAATGATGTCATGAACCAATTTCGTTCTTGGTAAGTATCCTCTAAACACAGTTGGTTATGTCTTAAATAAGCATAAAGGTTTTTAACAGAAACGGCAATTCCCCGGTTGTATGATGAAGTTAAGCGAGATATTCTGCTGTCACTCTCTTAACCCTGAGCATGTCAATCAATTGTTGTTTCTGCATAAAAATTTGAAAATGTAATCATTTAAAATGATTTCAACGTAGAAGAAATGACTTTGTTTGGTGCACATTCCAACACTTAAGACATGTTAAATACTGGTGTTTAAAATAGTTTGAGAAAACTAAGTTAAATTTCAGTTGTTACCGTTTTTGCTTTTATGGAATGTTTTAAGTTTTGTTTAGTCATTGAGCAGTGTAGACATGCTTCAGTGTCACTATAATTGTCATTTCAGTTATTGAGGCAGACTTTAAAAGCAGAAGGAAGAGCCATTCTTAGCTTTTTTATTCATTTAACTCATTGTTTTTCAGTTATCACAACTGTTATAACACTGGTTATTCAATAAACAGATATTACTGTTACTAAACTCAGCTCAAAAGAAATTTAAATTCCAAATTGATCCATATCATGATACATATCGTATCGTGGCTTTAGTATCGTGATACGTATCGTATCGTGACATTGTTGGTGATACACAGCCCTAGTCAATATAAAAAATTAAAGTCAATAATAATGATTATAATAATAATTTAAAAAATAACTAAAATTAAATTCACGGTTCTCTGATGTCATTTAACGGTAACATAACATGCAGGTCAACAAATATATATTTTTAAATATTTTAAGTGTTTTATTTTGATTTTAATTTATTTTAATTTAACATTTTTAATTACTTGATGATTTAATTACTTAATAGCTTTTCATTCAACAAATTTAGATATTTTTTCTCTTTGTATTTTTTTAATTCAATATGGTACAAGATTATCCTATTCAAATCAATGTGATTAAGGAGTTAGGTCAAAAGTAATCTAAAAGTAATCAGAAAATGGTAGTCCGATTATATTGCCTTAAACGTGTAATGTAATGGATTACATTACTAACTACAATTTTTGTCATATACTTTGGAATCAGTAACCGACTACAATTTATTTGTAAGTAATCTACACAGCACTGGTTGTGCACCAAAGTCACTTTAAACATTTAGACATTTAGCAGGCATTAAACTCATAGATACCAAGATTCAAGCTCAAAAACCCATTGTAGAATGCTGCCCTCATTTTCAGAGAACAGAGAAGTAGAGAGGAAATGAATCCAGTGTTTGACATTAGCTGCTCTCAGTCCTGAGGAAATATTCCATTTAGAGAAACATTTCATTCCAGCTCCTTCACACACACACACACACACACACACACACGCACACGCACACACACACACACACACACACACACACACACACACACACACACACTCGGAGCCAAATAGTGTCTGTTGCCTGAAGAATGTTTCATCCTCATCCTTACTTAACCCTTGTGAAGACCCCGTAATTTCAGAGAAAGGGTGTGTGAATAGTATGTGTCTGTGTAATTTTTTTTATTTTTATATTTAATTATAATGTTACCAACAACTTTGTTTCCCTTTAAAGGTCAGTTTTTGTCATTTCTGTCAATTAATTAATTATTCTTCTCTTCAAATTATTTTATTCCTCTGACCTAATCAAAACCAATTAGACAGTATTGAAGCTTTGCCCATCTGTTTTACCATAAATGATGCATGCACATTTCATAAAGGAGACTGGTATCCATTCTAGTAACATTGTTTCTGTTTGTAGTCAGTTTGCCCCAGAAACTATATAAAGACTATATATATTTTTTAAGTATATTAGTTCTTCAAATAGCCTTGGGGTCTCTCAGGCCCAATAGAGAACCTGAGGTTTTTGGATTTTAGTGGGTTAAAATTTGTTAAAGGGACCCATCATGTAATTCCAAACTTGTAAGTCTTTCTGGTTTCACTTTATTTTGATGTTCCTTTTAACACATTCTGTTGACTATAAGTAACGTTACACCTACATGTCTACTAACTGAGTATTAGTAGACTGGTAGAGTTTAGGGTTAGAATAAGTTGACATGTAGTTGCAAAGTTACTTATAGTCAGTAGAATGTCTGTTGGAGGATCATCATAATAAAGAGATATTAAAGGCACACTATGCAAGAATTGTACCTTAATATAACAGCTTCAAAGTAATTTCGGTGGTAAACAAACTCATAGTATGACGAATCATCCTGGTAGTAAAGCTTGGGGGGGACGCCGCTGTAAAAACCAAAAACCAGCAATGCAAGTTTGAGAGGAGCGCCCCCGACAAATCTCGCGAGAATCACGACATGCTTTACGGCAACGACGTCACACACATCAACAACAACATATGAAGCACGAAGACACTTGCGCGCATTTCAGACGTGATACTCGGCGATGGTAAAAGCAAAGAAAACGCGGTCGGAAGAGACTAGGAAAAGGAAAAGAGAATCTGACCGCGTGAGGAACCGGACAAGAGTCCCACTCAGTCGGGCTTTCACTATTTGGCGCGAGCTAAAAAGCAGCACTGGATGCAACAGCGATGCTGACCTGGCGATCTTGTTGATCTTTAAATTCTGTGTCGTTAAAAAATTTCAATCTGGTTTTAGATCACGTCACAGTACTGAGTCTGCACTGCTCAGAGTACATAATGACATTGCCTTGTCTGTGGATGCCGGGAATTCTGCTGTTTTAGTGCTTCTGGACCTCACAGCGGCATTTGATACGGTTGACCATGCAGTCCTCTCTCGCCTTGAGCATTGTGTAGGCATTCGAGGTTTGGCTCTTCAAGGGTATGGAAGACTGTAGAAGACTGGACATTTAACAAATAGGAGCTTCTCTGTTATGATTGGTGAATGCTCCTCGTCAGCTGCTCCTCTTTCTTGTGGGGTACCCCAGGGTTCAATTCTTGGCCCAATCTTGTTTTCTTTATATATGTTGCCGTTGGGGAGTATTATAGGAAAGCACAACCTGTCCTTTCACTGTTATGCTGATGATTTGCAGATTTATTTGCCTTTAAAACCGAATGATAGTGTCGCACTAGACTCCCTACTTAGTTGTATTAATGATATTAAGTTGTGGTTGTCACAAAATCTTCTTAAATTAAACAAAGCAAAAACTGAGTGTATCATCTTCGGAAACCCAAACGGTTCAGCGGTGAGTTTGGGGGCTCTGGCTCCATACCTTAAGGCTGCTGTCAGAAATTTTGGAGGTTACTTTTGATTGCAACATGAAATTTGACAAGCAAATCAACAATGTTGTCAAAATGATTTTTTTCCAGCTTCGTCTTCTAGCTAAAGTTAAGCCTTTTCTTAACAGGCATGATCTAGAAAAGGTGATTCATGCTTTTATTATTTTGAGGTTGGATTGATTATTGTAATGCTCTTTATGTTGGTTTAAATCAAAGCTCCATTTCACGACTTCAACTTATGCAAAATGCTGCTGCTCGGTTTTCAACAAATACATCTAGGCGTGCACATATCACTCCTGTCCTCTATACTTTACATTGGCTTCCAGTGCAGTTTAGAATAGATTTTAAGATTTTGTTGTTCGTTTTTAAGGCCCTGGCTAAATGGCCTGGCCCCGGAGTACTTAACTGAGATTTTAACCCTGCATGAGCACAGCCGGTCGTTACGGTCTTCAAACCAATTGGTTTTAGAAGTCCCAAGGTCAAAGTATAAGCGATGGGGTGATCAGGCGTTTGCAGTTGCTGCCCCAAGACTCTGGAACAAGTTACCCCCTGATATTCGTACAATTGCTGATGAAACTATTTTTAGGTCTAAACTTAAAACCCACCTGTTTAGAATGGCTTTTAATACGCAGTAGTGGTGTGACAATTTCCTTTTTCTTGTTTCTTTTCAACTTTTCTTTTCTTTTTTGATTTTACTGTTTTTATTGTATGTTATGTTGTTTTATTTATTTTATGATGTGAAGCACTTTGGATACCTGACGGTTGTTTTAAAGCGCTATAGAACTACATGTTGATTGATTGATTGATTGATTGTTGATGGACTAGTAAGTCTATGTTGTTGCGCTTGCTTGTATTATGTCATTTTTTTACGATGCTGTTCATTCATCATTGAACATTCATTGTTGATAATTAGACCAGTCCAGTAATTTCCACATATGTCTAGCTAGCTATTTACGACAGTGCAAGTATTCCACAGCGACTATAGGGGTCGCTGTTAAACAAAACACAATTTCTACATAGTGTGCCTTTAAGTAGACAGTGTACTAATACTCTAATGAGAGTTAGTTGACATCTAGTTACAAAGTTACTTATAGTCAACAGAATGTTCAAAAGTTCTTTTGTGGAACACAAAGGAAGATGTTTTTTTGGTCCATACAATGAAGCCGATGGGCTCCAATGTTGTTTAATTCCCAACGTTCTTCAAAATCTTTTATTTGTGTTCTGCAAAAGAAATAAATGCATAAGACAAACTAACCTATTAATTTAACACCCAAACATCCTATTAGGGTCTTTTTAACTGCTCTGTGTTGTAGTGTTTAGATATTGTTTAGAGGATGTTTCACTGATTTAAGAGAAAGTGACTCAGCTTTATATGAACTACCACATGGCCACACACATACCTTAAGACTGCAGGGGGAAGATATCAGTGAAGGTAATGAGATAAAAGCACACATGCGTGTGTTTGTGTTGGCCCTGGAGGTCTTCATCACTTATTTAGATGCTAAATTGCAGATGAAACTAAAGCTCATTAGAGTGTGTATCTCTGAAGAGTGAGATGCAGGTTATATTAAAAACTGATGAGGTGATTCAGAAGACACAGTCAGCATGGGCCATCAGCCGTTTCTATATGCAGATCTGCTTTTGGTCTCCATCTGTCTGCTTCACACACACTTAAGTCGTGACGTAAAGGTCTGATTTGTGGCTCCTGCTTCTCTGTGTCAGTGCCCAGGGCTGGAATCACACACATACACATGTGCTCTCTCCCCACAGAGGAACACTGTCAGGCTTCATCTCTGTTGAGAGAGACACTGTGAGCTGGAGGGACGGGGCTGCTGAGGGAGAGCGAGGGATTTAATGCTATAGTTTAATCTGAGACCGTAAACAAGAACAGAAACACAAAGTACAGAATCACTGAATCTGATTATATGACTAAAGAGATTGAATCTTACACAACAGTCTTCTACATCTGTTAAACACTTCTAAGATGAACAAATAAATGAACTGTTCATCTTAAAGCTGCAGTCCGTAGTTTTTCCTCTTTTTCACCATCTCTGTTAGAAATCTGCAATTGCAGTTAGTCTCGCAATATTCAAGTTTACGTGGGTTGTGCCTCGGCACGGCACAACGCAGATGAATCCAATGTTTTGAGGAGAATGTGCGGCTGTCAGTCACTGCGCCGGTGTGGATCATCTGAACAAGTGGCCTACGTAACATCCACTTTTGGTCTGACCAACTAAGAGGAAAAAAGGATTGCAGTAAATCGAGCTGATTAAATCTAACGATCGCTTATCATATCACGTCAAACCGCGTGTGTGTGTGTGTGTGTGTGTGTGTGTGTGTGTGTGTGTGCGTGTTCGCCTGTTCGGGAAGTCGCAGTGACAGAAACAGTGACATTCCAGTTTAAGTTTCAAGGGAGTAAAGTCTGTTTATGCCATTAAGAAAATGAAATTCTGTCAAATCAATTTTGTTTTAAAGAAATGTTCATTTAAAAACAGCACTCATTCATCAGTGTATAATGTTACCATTAGAGATGCGTGCATCAACCGTCGCCGAGTCTGCTGTTGAGGGTGACGATCATCATTTATAGTTACGCGTAACAACACGGGTGAAGATACTTAAATCAGAGAAAATTATTGGGGCGGGTGGATGATTTGTATATGGCTGCGGATTCGGGTGACGTGAGTTCATCAGCTTACTTTAAAGCAGTCAGACTCTGCCAGGCGGGGTGGACGTGGTTTATCAAGTTAGTGGTATTACCTCCTGCATATTCTATTTGTGCGTGACATGAGCATGCACAGTGCATGTCTTCTCCAGGTCGTGCTTACCAGGTTGTTCATAAAAGCCGAAATGTGGCCAGATGTAGGCTTTTAAAGTAGTTGGAGCATTTTTAATTACTCGCACTCGCGTCTCGCCTCCCTCTGCCATTGTATGCTACCGCGACAAAGCAAATACGAGACAAATGACGTCAGAACAGCGTCAGTACATTATAATCGGTTATGGTCTATTACTGAACCGATACCGAATTGTCCTCATCTGCATCGTGATGCATCGTAGAAACGATTAATTGCGACACCCCTATTTAATTATATCAAGTGCTGTGAGAAAAGGCTATAAATCTCCACCTCCAACATCCTCACACACAACATAGCCTACTAGCCGAGACTCCTTCTTTATGTGTACAGATGTGACGTAATGACGCAAAGACATGCTCGAATCTCCTGCGGAAATCCACCAGTACCACTAGAATTAAAAACGTTATTACAAGCTTACCGTTTTGAATCGAGCTAAGGCAAGCAGATAGTTTTGAACACTGGCTGGTTATGTACTTGCTCAAAAAATTTGGGGGATTATTTTTAACCCAAAAAGGTACAGACTGCAACTTTAAAGTAACAGTTCAACAGTAACAGCTCCAAAATTGAATGGTTAGTTTTTATAGTGTTATTGTATTAAAGCCAAAGTAAATTGTATGAACAACATATAATGACATATCCCCCCCCCCCACCAGTGGTGTAGTCTAGTTTTTTGTAGTGAGTATACTGTGATATAACCCCCCCCCCCCCACACACACACACACACTGTGCAATAGTAATATATTTCTGTTATATTTCCTCTCTAAAAGTTATACAAAACTTTTATTTTGACAGGTTGTAATGAAGACTTTAAGGTTTGTGAGTGTGTATATGATACGAATGAATGACGATAGTTTTATCAAATGAAATGGTAAAATTCTTGTGAAGTGACTCTCATAAAAGCTCTGCGATGAAGTTCGAATGTGTGCATGTCCTCCTCATAGACGCTGAAAACACCACGAGTGTCACGCACGCTTCAGTGTGTAGTAGAGCACACATTGAGCGCTCATTCACAGAGACACGCAGAACATGCTGTTTATTTCAATAGCAGTCTTTTTGAGCTTTAATATTCATAGACACTAGTACATATCGAGATTTGATTCATTGTACATCCCTACTTTTGATTTATTAATTCAAAAATGGGCAAATTGCGTGACGTTCCGCTTTACAGTAGGGTAAGTTACATTTGTGACTGGATTCCGCGATTCGATCCATGTCGCTGCGCAAACACAGATGTCAAGGCGGGGTGAATTTGTGAATGAAAGTTCTGTCACAAAACGATGTTGTTACGAATCCTCACGCTTTTTTAAGTGTGTGTACGGAGATCCTTGACCTTTCCTAGTGGGTATACGGTAATCCTTGACATTTTCTAGTGGCTATACGGCGTATACCTGCGTATCACGTATACTACACCACTGCCCCCCCCCCACACACACAAATATATCCACAATATTTTGCAATATGGAAGTTAGTTATTTTCTATGAATGTGCTAGACTTACAATTCATTAGCCACTATAGGTAAATAAGAAGAATAACAAAGTGCAGTAAAACCATTTGCGCTACAAACCAGTGTCCCCGATATACTTAAACGAAATCGTCATTTCGAACAAAATCAGGTCAAAATGAAGTTCGTTTCAGGAGTTCAAAACAGCTTGCCAAAGCGAACTTTCTGGAAAAGTTGGTAAACACCTTCAAACTACCATTGGTCCAAGGTGATTATGTAATAGGTAGGTGAGCTCTGGGGCTCCGCTCTCTTTGACATGGAAATCTTCTCCGGTTCATTTCCTATATTGAGTCCGTCGAGAAAACACGGTTTGATATCGCCTGTGTTTCTTACGTCACAAACTACCCTGTAACCAATCACGTCAACGTATGGGAGGCCTTTAGCATATCATTAACTATGCTGCGAAGCTGGGGAGTCCAGTGATTTGACCAGTTTATTTTTCAATTTGGGTGAATGATTCCTTTGATTTTTTATAGTAGTTATTTTATTAAGGTCGTTTTGTGATAACTGCATTCTTCTGTTTGTCCCTGACAGGCCACCGTACCCTCTACATTGGGGTGCATGTACCTTTGGGTCGGAGATCACACAGACGACATCGTCACCATGGACATCGTCACAGGAAGAGGTCACGGGAAAGAGACTCTGGAACCGAAGATGGCAGAGAATCACCTTCATACAGTAAGACTGATACTCTTGAAGGATAAATGAAAACTTGATTATGTCAAAAAAGACAGAAATAAGATACAAAAACTCTTGTTTCTCTCTAGCGGACACACCATCACAGCGTGTACAGTTTCTGCTGGGAATGGAGGATGATGAGGAACACATTCCTCATGCTCTTTTCACCGAGCTGGACGAGATCTGCCTGAAAGAGGGAGAGGATGCGGAATGGAAAGAGACGGCTAGGTACGAATCCACACAAATTCAACAAGGTGCTGAAACATTCTTCTGGGATTTTGGTCCATATTGATATGATAGCAACATACAGTTGCTGGAGATTTGTCAGCTGGAAATCCATGAGGGGAATCTCCCATTCCACCACATCCCAAAGGTGCTCTATTGGACTGAGATGTGGTGACTGTGGAGGTTGAGTATAGTGAACTCATTGTCATGACCAAAAAAACAGTTTGAGAGGCTTTGTTACTTGGAGCGTTATCCTGCTGGATGTAGCCATCAGAAAATGGGTACACTGTGGTCATAAAGGGTTGAAAATGGTCAGCAGCAATACTCAGGTAGGCTGTGGCGTTTAAACGATGCTCAATTAGTGCTAAGGAGTCCAAAGTGTGGCAAGAAAATATCCCTCTCACCATTACACCACCAGCAGCCTGAACCGTTGATACAAAGCAGGATGGATCCATGCTTTCATGTTGTTTACACCAAATGCTGACCCTACCATCTAAATGTCGCAGCAGAAATCGAGACTCATCAGACTAGGCAATGTAATTCCAGTCTTCTATTGTCTAATTTTGGTCAGCCTGTGCGAATTGTAGTCTCAGTTTCTTGTTCTTAGGTGACAGGAGGGATCATCTGCGTCTGTAGCCCATCTGCTTCAAGGTTTAGAGATGCTCCTCTGCAGACCTCGGTTGTGATTTGAATTTCTGTTGTCTTTCTTTCAGCTTTGCTTCTAATTTCAGAAATCCAAAGTATAGGTCACAGAGGGTTTGATGACCTGCCAGAAACAAACAGTGGAGTTCAATTAAAAGTGTTTTAAATCAAGAGCAAACCTACTTAAGAGCAATATTTGTGGTTTGGAATAAGAGATTCGGAGAGGATTAGGCATGTATCCATTACAGCTAATGCAATACCAGTTTGTGGTACTGCAGCTAAATGAGAAAACTAATTGAATTGTCATACTCATTCTCTCTTTTTTTTCTCCCACTCTTCCTATTCTTCTCTCTCATTTCCTTTATTTGTCTGTAGATGGCTGAAGTTTGAGGAGGATGTGGAGGATGGAGGGGAGAGGTGGAGTAAGCCATACGTGGCTACTCTTTCCCTTCATAGCCTGTTTGAGCTGCGGAGCTGCATCCTAAATGGCATCGTCATGCTGGACATGAGGGCCAACTCACTGGAGGAGATTGCAGGTACAGAGTCTGAAAACATTGCCCAAACCTGATCTTCTAAAGGCCTTCCTCACGGATCTAAAGCAATCAGCATTTTAATTATTAGGATTAGCTGTTTTCTGATTTCAGTTTGCAATACAGGGCCATTTAACATTTAGTGTCCCACTTAACATACTGCACATCCTAAATTATATTCAATATTAGATTAGTGCATCCCAAATGATAGTACATTGAAAATATTGTGCTACAGTTGCTTGTTGATATACTTCTTAGGGTGGATTTTCGAGATCATATGTCTTTCAGCTAATATGCTAATGCGTGCCACACTTATTGGCACCCCTTCATTTAATAATTTGTGCGACCTCCCTTTGTCAAGATAAGGTTGATGAACATATGGCAAAAGATCTGAGACCATTCCTCCTGAGACCTCTGAATCTCCAGATCCTTGATTCAAAGATCCATGCTTGTGGACTTTTTTCTTTAGCTCATCCCACAGGTTTTTTTATGGGTCAGGGGACTGCTGTGTCCATGGTAAAACCTTCATTCTGTGGTCAATGAGCAATTCTGTTCTTTATTTTGGGTTGTGCTTTTGATCATTGTCATGCTGGAAGATCAAACCACGGCCCAGTTTACAACATTAAAGATCCACCACCATACTTCCCAGTGGGGATGAGGTGTTTTTCTACATGGATATGTTTCTGTCAATGCCAAAGCCAAAAAGCTTTATTTTGGTCTTATCTGACCATAAAACCCAGTCTCACTGAAAGTTCTAGTAACGCCTGGCAAACTGTAGGTGTATGCAATTGCTGTCTGATGTCACCAAAGGATTTTTTTTTATCGCAACATTCCCAAACAAGTTGTGAAAATATTGGTGAGGTCTGATCATAGTTTTGGAGACTTTCTGACCCCAAGGCCCAACTAGCATCTGCAGTTCTCCAACTTCGATCCTCACAGTTTGTTTTGCGAATCAAAGATCCTCCTCAGTGCGTGTGGGGCCAATGTAGACACACATCCTCTTACAGGTAGATTGTTACAATCTCCAGTTGATTTAAACTTCTTAATTATTGCCCAGATAGTGGAAATGAGTATTCAAACAATTAAACTATTATCTTATAGTCATTTCATGATTTGTACTGGTCATCAACAACCTTTTGTCACACATCATTACTGTATTCTCAGGTCTTTCCCATATGGATGACAATTGGAATTTGGCCTGTGTGTCACTTCATATTTAGAGCCCAATGAAATAGCAAGACTTATCACTTAAGTGTCCCCAATCACTAAGGTGAACTTAGAAACATACCATCTGAATGAGTATGCACTTCAGTTTCAGGTCTTTCCCTAACCCTCCCCATTACATGGCTTGGGACTCACACACATCTCCTTGCTAAAGTGTTAATAAAAAAAATAAAAAAATTCTTACTAACCACAACATTTCAAATGGTCATGTAAATTCTATAGAAATGGCTTTATTTATTTTCTTTTTTTTAAAGATATGGTTTTGGACCAGCACGAGACGTCAGGTTTATTGGGAGAGGAGGTGAGGAAGAAGGTCCGAAATGCTCTCCTTAAACAGCACCACCATCAGAACCAGAAGAAACTGGCTAACCGGATTCCCATCGTACGCTCTTTCGCAGATATCGGCAGAAAGCAGTCCGAACCACACTCCATGGATAAGAATGGTACTGCTCCACACGCTCCAGCAGATGCATTGTTCTACATTTGCCATGCATGTGTCTTATCATTCTTTTTTAATGGTGTGTCTGTCTGTGTTTCCCAGTTATCTTCATGACCAATTCGCTCCCCAGTCCCCACTCCTCTCTCTGGTCTAGGTTCAGTCGAAGTGTGAGAAACAGACAGGTGCTCTTATGTAAAGCCTGGTCCATTAGATATCCCAAGTGTGTGTCAGCTCCCCAGAAACCCCACACATGCTCTTCTACCCGCCCTGCCCCAGACAACCCCCTCATTCGACCCAAAAAATCCTTCATCCCCTTCAGCAAACGATTAAGCCTGCCTTCCGGCTACCATGTCATCCCCACCATCGACCCTGAAGAAGAGCCACTATCAGGCAATATGATCATAGATATGCTTGTACTCTCAAGGTGCAGTCACATTAGTGAAATTTCAGCAAAATTTTGCGACCAGAACCAGTCCATTGTCAATAGTGCGGTGATGTATAAAGCACCGCTCACACAGAAATCACATTCAAACCAAGCATCTTTCCACGCAGTGAATTTGTTTGACCAACTTGAACCCAAAGCGAAATCCGCATGCAGAAATCGCCCTCCTGCCCTTTTGCCTCATGCGAAATTTCTGATCATGTGGATTCCTATTGAAATAACTGGATTTGGCTTGCAGATATTGTGAAAAAGAGAAAATGTGACCACACCTTAACACATAGATATGGAATATATAGATACCGTAATCAGGTGAACCCATTCCCATGTCAGTTCATTTGCATGTTTATGGGTGGATCTTGGCCTTTCCAATGTGGTGGATATGCAAATGTATCATGGTAATTAGCAATAGTTGATAGGGTACAAAGTTATTAAGGGTGTGTTCATACTTGTAGTTCAGTTCTCTTGGTTCTTTTGGTCCGAACCCCCAAAAAAGGAGGCAGGCTACATTTACAGTAGTCCTAGTTCGCTTTGCATTCAAAAGTGAATAACATTCATTTTTATAACGTCTGCTGTCCATAACAATGCTGTGTGCTGAGCTAAAGCGCTCGTTGTTAGTGCGTACAATTTCTTTTTATTTTTACTCCTCATTCTCTATTAATCAAACTTGTTTAATAATCTGGAAACTGGAGTCAAAAAGGCTGAGAACCACTGTACTATACTTCATTTGTGTTCCTTTGAAATAAACGTATAAGTTTGGAACAACATGAGGGCGAGTTGAAGTTAAGATTAGTCTTTATTTTTGTTTGTATCATTTTAAGAGTATAAAAAACAAAGAAAACTGTGCTGTGTAATGAAAATGAAAGTATGAAAAGTTAGGAAATGAAAGTATGTTTGAAGAGAGATGAAGAGTTGTGTGAGGGGAATTCGACACAGACCATTACACAGGAGAGATGCATTACGCTTTAGAAAACAAATGTATACACTCTCAAACACACACACAAGTGCAGGAATGAACTGGGACTAAAACAGCTCCATGTTTATTTTATTTTATAAAATGTGTTAATTAATCAAAACAGCAGAAGGAATTCCTCTGTTACATATACAAATGAAGATCTGCTGTAAGGAGATGGCGGTTCCGACACCTGTACCAAACTGTAATGGGCAACATATCTCCAATGACGAGAAGAACCAGGTATCCTTGAGCATTCTGTCCTTTTTAGGGTTGCATCTTGTGACATCACATCCTGTTTTGGGTTTGTTTAGAAGTCTTTGTTCCGTGTTAATCTCATATTTCATTCGAACTACACTAGAGTTTGTTTGAGAGCAGACCGAGAATCCTTTGTCTCAGTCCACTTGTTTGGTACGCACCAAAGTTCAAATGGGAGCGTTCAAACTTATTCAACTGAACAGCACTTACAGAGCAACACCAGCGTTTTAATCGAACCAAACCTGCCAAGTGTGAACACACCCTTAGGTATTCCATATCTATTCTCTAATCAACAATACACTTAGCGTTAGCGTAGCTTTTAACCACTTAAATTTGCCTTTAACCACATATGAAGTAGTTTTTAGAGTACTGCAATTTGTAGTTGACTATTAGATATCCAACCTCATCTAATTGTTTCTTCACTGCTTCTTGATTCAAGTTTAGAAAATGTTGATTTAGATTTAGAAAATGCTAGGAGGTTTGTAACTGACTTCCTTAATCTGTTTCTTACAAATATTTTTAACCAGGTAAGTGTGCATTGGTCTTAATCTCTCTATGACCTTAACATTACTGTCTTTCTTCTAAACAATCAAATCTGTTTTTATATGATAGTCTGTTATATATTTCCTCTGTTTTGTGTGTTTGCTGCACTGCTTCCAGGTCAGATGGTGTCTCCTCAGGCTCAGCCCACCACTACAGAGGGACGTGGGGATGGCAGTCGTGAGAACAGTGCTGTTGACTTCAGCAAAGTAAGAATCACATTTCAGACAGTTTTAAATCTTACTCCAGAACTTAAATATACATATATACACATTGAAAAGTTTGGTGTCAGTAAGATTTTTTTAAAGGAATTGTTCAGCAAGGATTCATTCAATTGATCAATAGTTACAGTAAAGACTTTTACATTGTTACAAAAGTTTTCTATTTCAAATAAATGCTGTTATTTCAAACATTCTTATTATCAAAGAATCCTGAAAAAATCATGCATCATGGTTTCCACAAAAATATTTAGCAGCTGTTTTCAACATTGATAATAATAATAAGTGTTTCTTGAGCACCAAATCATCATATTAGACTTTCTGAAGCATCTGACATTAAAGACTGGAGGAATGGCTGTTGAAAATTCAGCTTTGCCATCACAAGAATAAATTACATTTGAAAATATATTAAAATAGAAGACAGTTATTTTAAATTGTAATAATATTTCTCAATATTACTGTTTTTACTGTATTTTTGATCAATAAATCAGTCTTGATGAGCATAAGCATACTTCTTTCAAAAACATCAGACTTTTGATTAGTAGTGCAACAAATAATTTAATTACATATTTTAAATAATGATAACTAAAAAGGGAGGTAGATTTAGGGGCAACACTGTGCTTTATAAGCATACTTTATCAACAGATAAAGGTTCATACCAACAATTTTAATACCATGATAGTGTCAGTGTTGATGGTTTAAAAAAAGTTGTGTTGCTGAGGAAGCATGTTTTTGTGTCTGCAGATAGACCTCCACTTCATGAAGAAAATCCCACCGGGGGCTGAGGCATCCAACATCCTAGTGGGTGAGCTAGAGTTTCTGGAGAAACCTGTGGTGGCCTTTATCCGTCTGTCTCCCGCTGTGCTGCTCAACGGCCTGGCAGAGGTTCCCATCACCACCAGGTAAGAGCAGAGTGATCTGTGCAAAAAACACATAAAATATCTCAATCATTCAAGGTCATTTTGCAGAGCGGTGTGCCTCCGAGTTCACTCCTGAGCCCTTTGTCGTTGTGTAGGTTTCTCTTCATTTTGCTGGGCCCGATGGGGAAAGGGCCTCAGTACCACGAGATTGGCCGTTCCATCGCCACCCTCATGACAGACGAGGTTAGTGTTATGGGCAATAACTAATTACTGTTTATTTCTGTTCATGATGATATACTATAGGCAACTGGCTATTACTGTATATGCGCTAATTTCACATGAACGTCTCTTTTTCAGGTGTTTCATGATGTGGCTTATAAAGCAAAGGATCGTTCTGACCTCGTGGCAGGAATCGATGAGTTTTTGGACCAGGTGACTGTGCTGCCCCCAGGCGAGTGGGATCCCACCATCAGAATAGAGCCGCCCAAAAACGTGCCCTCACAGGTAACCCAGTTCTCAAACTCCATGCGCTAATTCCTCACAGATCTGATACTGAATTAGTGATGCCCTGAAATTTCGACAACTGAAAATATTCCAGCCAAAAATTAATTTTCAGTTTTGGCCAAAAGTTTTGGAGGGCCAAAATTATTGGGAAGAATCCCAATTCAGCATTCAGCGTCAGTGCGGAATATGTGTGAACCGATGATTATTTTCATCTCTTCTAATTGTTATAGTACAAAATAAACATGAATGAACATCAGAGGGTATGTTGAAAGATACCTATCACGTCTCATGTAATCACTCAATCAGATTGTAAACAATATGTCACATAAAGTTACATTTACCTCAGGAAAGCTCATTAGTCAGGTACTGTAGTTAGCCATATCAGTTAGTCAACTCTAGAGAGAAGCATTTTGCTAAATATATGCAATATATTTACTTTACATGTTTTTATTGAATGTTTGAATAAAACTCATGAAAACAATATTATAAGTTTTTATTACAGTCACTGTTTAAATGTTTATATTTCAACAAAGAATTGGAGTAGAAACATAATCTTAACTTTAAAAGTTGATATAAAACTGCTTAAATGTTAATATTTACTTTGTTTTTAATTGAACGTTGATTATTAAATACATTTAATTACTTATTTGACTATTAAATAAATGTTATTTTCGGTTTTAAGCTGAATGAAAACTTTAATTTCGGTTATTGGTAACATATTCATTTCAGTGCATCACTAGGCAGCTGGAATAGTTCATATTCTTATCTCCAGTCTGAAATCAGTGGTAATGTTGGTTTATGACTAAATCTGGCAGGAGAAGCGGAAGGTTCCTCCTCTGGCCAATGGAGGGGCTGATCTGGGGGAGAATGAGGAGCACGGAGGCCACGGAGGACCAGAGCTAGAGCGCACAGGGAGGTGAGTAATCTGTGAATATGTACTGTCCATATCTTTTTGTGTTCATAAATTCTGTCAATCCCCATGTCTGAGACAGACCCAGATCCCAGATGATGTCTTTTAATTATATCTACAGGTTATTTGGTGGCTTATTTCTGGACATCAAGCGTAAGGCTCCTCACTACCTGTCAGATTACACAGATGCCATAAGTTTGCAGTGTCTCGCCTCCTTCCTCTTTCTGTACTGCGCATGCATGTCTCCTGTGATCACCTTCGGAGGTCTCCTGGGAGAAGCTACAGAAGGACGCATAGTAAGGACACATAAGTGAATTTATATCATGTACTGTATATCGATTAATTATGCTGTGACTGATGATACAGTATATTCTTCCCATTTCTCTCTTAGAGTGCGATAGAGTCTCTGTTTGGAGCCTCTATGACGGGTATAGCGTACTCTTTGATTGCTGGGCAGCCCCTCACTATCCTGGGCAGCACGGGACCTGTCTTGGTCTTTGAGAAAATCCTCTTCAAATTCTGCAAGTGAGGCTCCTTAGATTCATTTGCAATAAGCATTTAAAAGTATTTCAATGTCTGATTAATGGGGGAATTCACTAAGAATGAATTGTTGCGTTGTTTATTTGCACTATCTATGCATCTATCTATCTATCTATCTATCTATCTATCTATCTATCTATCTATCTATCTATCTATCTATCTATCTATCTATCTATCTATCTATCTATCTATCTATCTATCTATCTATCTATCTATCTATCTATCTATCTATCTATCTGTCTGTCTGTCTGTCTGTCTGTCTGTCTGTCTGTCTGTCTGTCTGTCTTCTCTCTCATCTGTCTGTCTCTCTGTCTAAATGTTTCATTTTTCACCAAATAAATTACTGGGACAATTTAAAAAAGAGCTAATACAAAGTACTTTCTCACAAATAAAAATGTATTAATTCATAATGATATTATAAAAAAGGATACAAAGAAAACATAATGGATTGTGGGTGATTAGTGACTACAATAATAATAATAAAGTATTTATTTTTTATTAGCTAAGATATCACACAGGGAAGTTCCATTATTATTAATACAATTATACAATTTTATTGTCCTGCAATAAATGAGCATTTTTGAAAGTATAAATTGATTCAAGTCAATTTAATTTTTATCTGTCCTTCTCCCCAGAGAGTATGGTTTGTCCTACCTCTCCTTACGCGTGTGTATCGGTCTGTGGACGGCCTTTTTCTGTCTTTTGCTGGTTGCCACAGACGCCAGCTCTTTGGTGTGTTACATTACACGATTCACAGAGGAAGCCTTCGCTTCCCTCATCTGCATCATCTTTATCTATGAAGCTCTGGAGAAACTTATTCATCTGGGAGAGACATACCCTTTCAACATGCACAACAACCTCAACCAGCTCACTCAGTACTCGTGAGTACTGACACACACATATCATTCTTCCTCAAGTTCACAGCTATAATTCAGCTGTACATGTTGATAAAGTTATCAATGTGAAATATTATGATGTATTTGTGTGTGTTTTTCAGATGTGTGTGCACAATGCCTACAAAACCCAGTAATGCCACACTGAATTACTGGGAGGAAAAAAACATCACTGCATCTGAGATTGACTGGCTAGGCCTAGATGTCAAGGCGAGTGTGACTATTGGGGCATTCAAGTCCTCCTGGGAAGTTAGTTTACTAGTTGGGAAGTCGTAATTACAACGTCAGGAGCAGAAAATATTCAGCAAGATTTTTTTTAACTCTACTTCTACAAAATTATGAATAAAGAATGCGAATCAGGTGTTTTTGATTTTTGATTTTTTTAATACAATTTGCAAAGGTAAATTGAATCGTAATATGTCCTATCATAACTGTTCAATACTATTGCATTTTGTACATGCGACAAGTTTTATTGTAAATGAAAAATAATAATAGCCTTCATTTCAACATTTCTTCATTTACCATCAATACAGATGTCCACCATATTTTCTCACTGACACGTCCCCAACTCGGAAATTTGGGCTTAAAGAAAGTTGTTAATTAAAAGTTTCCCACTTGTAATTACAACATTGCTGTGGTGTTCCTGTGCATTCAACTCGTAAATATGATCTTTTCCAACATGATTTGAATGCACCATATGGCTATGTTCTAAATGGAGTAGTAGTATGCTAAATTGTAACATGACCTCCATAGCATGTCATCTTGGAAACTGTCACAACTGTTTTGTTGTCATGGACAAATATAAATATGGTTATTTTATAGTACGAATTAAAAACGAAAGTCAGTTTTTGCCAGTCTGATCAAATAATGAGTCAAGACAGTGTTAATACACAGTACAGTACTTCATTTATCACTCTCAAAAAGGAAATGTCATCGAATGCATTGCATTGTAGGATAATGTGTTCCACATATACTGTGCTCTAGTTGTATATCATCGATGCATACAGAAAATGTGCATGCAGTTCATGGTATACACACTGCATACTACTTTCTCTCAAAAACAGTATGTAGTATACACCATCCCGAACATTCCCATAGACGTCTACGACTGCGTCTCATTTCTTTGGCTCAGATATAGGTTAATACATTTCAGTGACTCTAATAAAAGCAAATCCTCTGCTGTTTCACCTCAGTTCCCCTCCGTTTATATTTAATCTCCTGCACACACACACACACACACACACACACACACACACAATCACACAATCTAATCCACTATAAACAAATCCTTGTGATACATTTCCACAGTTACACATGACTGCATATGAATTTGTATCCTTTTTTTTCTTGATGTTGTGTTTATCCGTGTTCTTCATCAGAAGTAGATGTGATTATTGTGTCTTATGTTGTGTCTCAGGGCTGTGTGGAGAACAGGGGTGAGTTTCTGGGCAACGCCTGTGGCCATCATGGTCCATACATACCTGACGTCCTCTTCTGGTCTGTCATTCTCTTCTTCTCTACGGTTGCTATGTCGTCCTTCCTCAAGGAGTTCAAAACAAGCCGTTACTTCCCCACCAAGGCAAGAAGCTTGTGTGTGTGTGTGTTTCAGTATAGAATAGTACAGACAACTGTGGAAGTACGTGTATGTGGATTTATGTGGATTTATCTGTGAAAAAATCGAAATATGTGTTAAAAAAAAAAATATATACCGGTATATATAATAAGGTCACTTTATTTCGATGGTCCACTTGAGATATTCTACTAACTACAAGTAACTGCAACTACATGTCAACTAACTCTCATAAGAGTATTAGTAGACTGTAGTAGACTGTTAGGTGTTACGGTTCAGATTAGTTGAATAAGTTGACATGTAGTTGCAAAGTTACTTATAGTTAGTAGAATGTCTAAAGTGGACCATCAAAAATAAAGTGTTGCCTAATATAATATAATATAAAATATAATATAATATAATATAATATAATTAGTGGTGTCAAACGATTAAAATATTTAATCGCGATTAATCGCATTAATGTCATAGTTAACTCATAATTAATTGCACATTTTTATCTATTCTAAATGTCTCTTGATTTCTTTTTGTCCCATTATTTTTTCTCATTTTAATGCTCTTATCAACATGGAAAAGTGGATCGGCTTTGTGCAAATGTTTTTTTATTGTAAACAACATTGGCATATACTGTTCAATTTCACACTAACATTCTCACTTGGAGCAAATAATCTCTCACAAAATGTAACACTGTCCATCAATAAAAGGGTGAAAGAAATATGACGAGGTCCTGATATTGACGAGGGGCGGAGAATTCACATCAGCTGTGTGTGTGTGTGTGTGTGTGTGTGTGTGTGCTTGGCCATCATCAAGTGGTATTTCAGACTGGACGTGCTGCGATGATGATAGCTCAGTTGTTTTCGGTCTAGCTAGATCCGCTTGCGCTTTGGTCGACGAAGCAACAGAACGTCCTCGCGTGGTGCAAGCCATTGAAATGAATGGGTTTCATAGCGCAGCGCCGCGCATGTCGCGTCCTGTTGCAAAAGCATGTGAAAAAAACGTATCGGTTACCTAACGTAACCTCGGTTCTCTCTAGAAGAGGGAACGAGTATTGCGTAAGTTAGCTTATGCTACTGGAAAGATTCATCTTTTCGAGATATTGAAGCCAAAAAATTATCCTTAATTTTGTATTCATTGTCAACGCAGTGCAGCAGCTAGCAGACCTAGAGCAGGCTATCTAGCGTGCTCATAGGCTGCCCTGCGGGAACTGCAGCAGCCCACCAGTGAGCCCGTTGTGACGTCACGTCCAATGAAGGGCGCTCGCGCCTTCACAGCGTCATAGCCCGCCAGAATGGGCGTTGCTTAGAGTATATAAGCGGGGCTGGGAGGCTGATTATGGCTGATATCTGGACAGAACGTACATCTCACTTATACTGCCAGAAGTTTTGCCTGCAGAGCGGGAACTTCTAGGTTATAAAACCTGACAAAGGTGGACGGGGAGGCCCAGCCCGCCGCCACACATATGTCGTGAATAGAAATTCCGCTGGACCATGCCCACGATGAGGCCATGCCTCTAGTGGAATGAGCCCTGATGCCCAGGGGGCATTGCAGACCTTTTGACGCGTAAGCGGCTGCTATCGCGTCCACAATCCATCTGGACAGGCTTTGTTTCGAGGCGGCGAGACCTTTGGTGCGCCCACCAAACGAAACGAAAAGCTGCTTCGAGCGCCTGAAAGGGGCGGAGCGCGCAGTGTAAACCCTCAGCGCCCTGACTGGGCAGAGGAGATTAACATTGCTCTCGCTATCGGATGAAGGCAGAGCCGATAGAGAAATGACCTGTGCTCTGAAAGGCGTGCCAATCACTTTCAAACAGGTCGACTTCCGCTTTGCCGAATTGGCGCCATAGTTTCTGGACTGTTTGGGGGTGCAGGGACCATTCTCCTGGGGGAACGTTGTCCCTGGATAGTTTGTCTGGGCCGTCGTTCAGGTGGCCTGGCACATGCGCAGCTCTCAGCGAGCGCAGGTGACGCTGAGACCACATGAGAAGGCGCTCTGTCAGATCGCAGAGGTTCCTGGATCTGACCCCGCCCTGACGGTTCACGTAGGACACCACTGACATGTTGTCTGAACAGACTAGAAAATGGTGGTCCTGTATGAGAGAGAGGAAGCGCTTGAGCACGTTCTCGACCGCTATCATTTCCAGACAGTTTATGTGAAGGAGCTTCTCCTGGTCTGACCACAGGCCAAAGGCCGGTCTGCCCTCGAAGAGAGTGCCCCAACCTGAGTTGGACGCATCTGTCGAGATGACCTTTCGATATGAGACAGCTCCCATCATCACTCCCCGTTGATACCAGTCGGCCGCTAACCAGGGCTGCAGAGCCGTGATGCAGGTCTGAGTCACTCTGATTCGTTCGCGGCCAGAGACCCAAGCTCGGCGAGACGCTCGAGCGTTCAGCCAGCGCTGAAGCGGGCGCATGCGCAGTAAGCCCATCTGAAGCACTGCTGCAGCCGAGGCCATACAGCCCAGCATCCTCTGGAATGTCTTCAGAGGGATGCTGCTGCCCTTCTGGAAAGACGCGGCCAGGTGTTGAACACGGTGCTTGGATTTTGAACGGTCTTTTCATGAGCACTTTGTTCAAATGTCTCAGATCTAAGATGGGTCTGAGGGCTCCGTCCTTCTTGGGTACGAGGAAATAACGGCTGTAAAAGCCCGACTCGCTCAGAGAAGGCGGTACCAATTCTATAGCCCCTTTGCACAGCAGCTTCGCTATTTCTGCGCGGAGTAGATGTGCTACTTCCGCATTCACAGTTGTCGCGGTCCGCGCTTGGCAGCGCGGGGGACGGCGAGTGAACTGTAGTGAATAGCCATGCCTTATTGTGCTCAGCACCCATTCTGAAACCCCTGGGATAGCTTCCCATGCTTTTATATGTGTAGCTAGGGGGCGAATGGTCTCCGGGTTCTGATCGCCGCACTATGCAGGCTCGAGAAACTGAACCGGAGGAGTGGGCGCGGCGCGCGCGCTCTCGGTGCTTGGAGGCAGCAGCTCACTGACAGCCGTGACAGGCTGATATGTGTGTGGCGTCCCGATAGCCATGAATTGGGAGCGCACCTTTCCCACTTTGTGATGCGCGAGCCGAGCCCTGGGCAGAGTGTTTATTAGTAAGCGTAAACGCGTTTGCGCGGGCACGAGACTTACATGTAGGTTTGACGCCCCGATCGTTTTTGATGGGGAGCGTCTTATAATCGCCCTGCATTTTGTGACAACTCTTAAATGCACGGGCGACGCTCGGGGAGAGGCATGTGTCAGTAAGCGTGAGCGCTCGTGGGCGGGCACGTGACTTACGTTCATAACCTGACTGATATGAGTCTTTAGAGGCCGTGTAACAGACCGGGCAGAGAGTGGGCACAGACCTGTGGACACATTTCTTGTATTCAACACTCGAGCGGCTTTTGCCTGCTTTATGAGAGTGGGCTCTGTGAGTGACATGGGGAGTGTTGTGCTTGTGTGTAGGGGTGAACACTGGGGCGTGGACACTTTCTCTACACTTAAAACACCATCGGCGTGAGCCGGATAACCAGAATTTATACTCTTTTTTTAGATTTCTCTGGTTCGCCGTGAAAACGGCGTTTGTGTGCAGGCGAGAGGGTAGTGTTACCGGCTCGTTGGCTGCTAAATTAACCACTGCAGTAGCCTGTAATGAGGGGACTGACAGGGAAATGAGCTTCGACGGCGGTCCGGCCGCAGCGGGACTCAACCGTCTCTTTCTTCCTCTTGCAGTTGCTAGGAAGATTTCGCGTGCTCGGGCTTCAGCGCGATCTTCTGCCGAGGCCCTCTGGGGGGCGGCGGTCTGTGACGGCTGTCCGAGCGCGACCTAGGGCGGCCGCCCTGACGTCGCTGCGAAGGCTGGCTAGGCTGTGCTGGACGCTGAGTGGTGGCTCGTGCAGGCGGCTGGTCACGTGAGCGGCCTGTAGAGGAACTCGAGCGTCGAGGCAGAAAGAGGTTCATGGCCTGCGTGGTCTTCTGTACCTCGGAGAAACGGTCGACGATCCCACTCACCGCTGGGCCGAAGAGACCAGTGGGGGAGAGAGGCGCGTTGAGGAAGGTGGCGTGCTCAGATTCCCTCATCTCAGCAAGCATTAACCAAAGGTGCCTTTCCGTGACGGTTAACGCGGCCATAGACCTCCCGATGGCTTGAGTTGCGGTCTTGGTCGCGCGAAGTGAGAGATCCGTCGCGCTCCTCAAGTCAGTAACAACAGCTGGATCCCGGCCCTTCTCGTCCTATTCACGGAGGAGGTCGGCTTGCAGGATTTGAAGCACAGCCATCGAGTGCAGAGCGGACGCGGCCTGTCCGGCGGCGGTGTATGCGCGGCCGACAAGGGCGGATGTGGCTCTGCAGACTTTAGAATGGAGGGCAGACCTTGAGCGCCATCTCGCGGAGGGCGGACAAAGGTGCGCTGCGACCGCCTCTTCCACAGGAGGAATGGCAGAATATCCCCTCTCGGTGGCGCCGTCCACTTGGGAGAGCGAGGCGGAGACGTGGGACTGAAGCCTGGTGGAAAATGGTGAATTCCACGACTTAGCCAGTTCCGTGTGGAGTTCAGGCAGAAAAGGGGCGGACCTGGCTGTGGGCGCTTGATGGCGGCGACTCTGGAGAAAACAGCCATCGAGCCTGTTGGGTGCGGGCTCCTTCGGCGACGACCACTCGAGCCCGAGTCGTTCGACAGCCTGAGACAGGAGGCGCATCAGCTCGGCGTCCACTCCAGCACGGGTCCGGCCTGATTCCTGGATCGAGGAAGAGGAGGAGCGTTGAGAGCCCGACCATTCCTCGCTGTCCGATGCCAGGACGGAACAGCAATCCCTTGTGGCGTTTCCATCGGCCTCGTCATCAGACACGACGGCAGCGTGGCTCGGAGGCGGCGGCTGCGCGTCCGTGAGAAGAGGCGGAGAAGGTGAGAGCGAGGCTCGAGTGAGGGAATCCGGCGAGCGCGTCGCTGTGGCCACAGGCTCCAGCGGCCTTTGAGAACGGCGCTTCTTGCGCGGCCCTGCAAAGGGCGGAGTGGGAGGGTTGAACACTTCGAGTCGAGCCCGCAGGGTCGACATCGGAAGCGCTTCGCAGTGCTCGCAGCCCCCTGACGAGAGGGCGAGAGCTGCGTGTTCCTGGCCCAGGCAGAGAGCGCAGATAACGTGGCGGTCTCCATCACTGAGCGGGGCTCTGCACGAGCCACAGGATGTGCGAGGCATCTTGAAAAAGACGCTCGCGCTCTTTTAGATGCAAAGTAGCAAGGTATGTAAAAGGATACGTCGCCGGATAGCGTAGCTCGCACGGATGGCTGAAGGTGGCGAAGACAGCCGGCTTCTTCAGGCGCTGTCCTAAGCTGGCTAGTCGCTTTCCTCGACGGCGGCGGCGGCTTCTCTCGAGATCCAGCGATGCAGAGAGCGTCGCTGAAGAGATGAAAATCAGAGAATCAGCCTCTGAGCCCCGCTTATATACTCTAAGCCACACCCATTCTGGCGGCCTGTGACGCTGTGAAGCCGCGAGCGCCCTTCATTGGACGCTAGATAGCCTGCTCTAGGTCTGCTAGCTGCTGCACTGCGTTGACAATGAATACAAAATTAAGGATAATTTTTTGGCTTCAATATCTCGAAAAGATGAATCTTTCCCGTAGCGTAAGCTAATTTACGCAATACGAGAGAACCTCTCGTAAGAGAACCTACAAAGTTTGCTAGGCCAAAAAGACCGTTAATCGCGCGATAAAAAAATGAACGCTGTTAAAATGGGTTTGCGTTAATGCCGTTAATAATGCGTTTAACTGACAGCCCTAAACATAATATAATATAATATAATAATTAATACAATAATTAATATAATAACAATTAATATAATATATATAATACATTTATTTATTTAGACTCATTGTACCTGGCTTACAGAGACAAGGCTCACAGTTTCATGTTCAGTTTCTAGTGCTTATTCCAATTCTGTGTGTTTCTCAATAGGTGAGGGCAGTTATCAGTGATTTTGCTGTTTTCATCACCATCCTGACCATGGTTCTGACCGACTACGCTCTGGGGGTCCCCTCTCCAAAACTACAGGTTCCTAATGAGTTTAAAGTGAGTCATTTTACATTTTACATTTGTAGATTTTCCCACAAATCCACATCCTCAGAATATCAATCTGTAATTTACTAATGACCTCTTACAGCCAACCAGAGATGACCGTGGCTGGTTCATCAGTCCACTGGGACCAAACCCGTGGTGGACCACTATTGTGAGCTTCATCCCAGCTCTGTTGTGCACCATCCTCATCTTCATGGACCAACAAATCACTGCCGTTATTATTAACAGGAAGGAACACAAGCTGAAGGTGTGTCACTACTTCATAATTTGCTCCTTTTTGGTTAACAAATAATCTTGTACTCTTGATGAGATGTCTTTCGTTGTGTATGTGTGCATCCACAGAAAGGCTGTGGGTATCATCTGGACCTGTTTGTGGTGGGTGTGATGCTGGGCGTGTGCTCTCTCATGGGTCTCCCGTGGTTCGTGGCTGCGACTGTGCTGTCAATCAGCCACGTGAACAGCCTGAAATTGGAGTCCGAATGCTCGGCACCCGGTGAACAGCCCAAGTTCTTGGGCATCAGAGAGCAGCGCTTCACCGGCCTCATGATATTCGTCCTCATGGGCAGCTCAGTATTTATGACCTCCGTACTGAAGGTCAGTGATCTTCTTTGATCAACTGATGATAGTTACAAACTTGCTTGCAATAAATAAGAAAACTTTTGCGGGATTTTTATCTTTTAATGGTTATTATTTTGTTTTTGTCCTCAGCATATCCCGATGCCTGTGTTATACGGAGTTTTCCTCTATATGGGAGCGTCGTCTCTCAGGGGCATACAAGTACTGCAATTACTAGTCATATATTGTTCCTAAACAGTTGTTAATTTTGACATTTTTAGGTGTAGCTTATGTGTCCCAGTGTTATTTAAGTATTATTTATATAAGTCCTTTATGCTCTTTGATATAAAAAGACAGTAAAATTGTGAAATATGATTACAATTTAAGACCTGTTATAATATATTTTATTGATTGTGAAAGCTGAATTAGACTCCCAGTGTTATTTTAGTATTATTTATATACTCATAATATTTATTCATCTTTTAAATTAGCTTTTATTTTTACACGTTCATTTTTCATTTCAAGTAATTTTTAGTAATTTGTAATTTTTATTAGGTTTTATTTTTTACTTAATTTAACTTAATAACATTTTTGTTTTATTTTCATTTGAATTTAGTTATTTTATTTTTGTATTTGTTTACTTGTATTTATTTTACATTTTAGTACTACAAGTTAAAGTTTTTTTATTTAATTTTTGTTACATTTTTTAAGTTGAAGTTTTTCATCTAAAATTTATATTTTATTTCAGCTTCATTTCAATAAAAAAACAAACAATTTTTTAATTGTTTTAGCTTTAGTTAACAAGACTAAATTGTGTCCAAATACAGGGTCATATTGTACAGTTTTGACAGTGTTGGCGTGTTCGTGTTTGTCGTTCAGTTTTTTGATCGTGTGAGACTGTTCGGGATGCCGACAAAACACCAACCTGATTTTATCTACCTGAGACACGTCCCGCTGAGAAAAGTTCACTTGTTCACCATCATCCAGTTCAGCTGCCTGGTGCTTCTCTGGGTCATCAAAACCTCCAGAGCCGCCATAGTCTTTCCTATGATGGTAAGACGTGTCTGTTTGTGTATATTTCTGTATGTGTGCATGCATGATCATCAAGATCTCATATGATGTCTGTGTGTTTTCTTGCAGGTCTTAGCCCTTGTGTTCATCCGTAAGCTGTTGGATTTTTTCTTCTCTAAGCGAGATCTCAGCTGGCTTGATGACCTCATGCCAGAGAGCAAGAAGAAAAAAATGGAAGATGCACAGCAAGAGGTACCACCACCCCCTGCAGCCTGTGACGACGCTATTGGCTGGCAACCACCAATCACTGAAGGCAACGTTTTTAAAAGGACCGATCACCAACATGTTCTTTCTCTCACTTTCAGGAGAATCAGTGTGTCTTGATGGAGGAGGAAGGAATTGTACAAGTGCCCCTAGAGGGGCATTATAAGTAAGTAGGATTTGTTTTTACAGTGTTTGTACACTGTAAAATTGGTAACCTGTTGTTGTTACCATTTCTACATAATCTAACCCGTAAATCTAGTCCTTATGATTTTTAAAAAGAGATTATACAGTATATAAGAAAGATTTCTGAAGGATCATGTGGCACTAAAAACTGGAGTAATGACCTAGAGACATTTGCATTAAATACATTAAAGTAATAAATTACAAAATAGAAACATTTATTTTAAATTGTAATAATATTTCACAATATTACTGTTTTTACTGCATTTTTAATCAAATAAATGCAGCCTTGGTGAGAATTAGATACTGATTTAAAAAATCCTACAGACACAAAACTTTTGAACAGTACTGTTTATTTTTTACAGTAGGAAACATTTTTTCAGTGGAATACACAAAGCATACCGTCAAAAAATAAATATAATTTCATTTCACATATTTCATGTAGAAACAGCCTGGAGTCAAACATTTCTGTACAAATGTTTAGATTTTTACAGAAATCTAAACATCCTCTCTTTTTGAAGGACAAACTTTCAAAATGTTCTTTCAAAATATGACATAACAGAAATAGTCATTAAAAATGCTAATGTGTTTGCATTCTTTAAGGGACGATCCATCCACGGTCAACATTTCAGATGAAATGACAAAGACGTCTTTTGGAAACGTCTGGAAAGGCCTCAACTCTGACAGCACCAACAAAGATCAAAGCTCAAAAAGGTTTGAATTTAATATTCCCTCAGAACATCCCCTGGCATGCATAACAATATTCAAACATGTCACTTTAATCTCACCGCAAACCTGCAAACATTGCATTAGGATAGATGAAAATACATACACAGTATGTTATGTTACCATGGGACATTTTCAGTTTCTCGATTCAGTAGCGGCACGCTTTTATTCCCCCTTTTGGAACATTGAACTGAAATCCTACTTTTAAAGGGGTCATGAACTGAATTTTTTTTTATGTTCTTTGAGGTCATTACAGGCATCTCTACCATTTTGTTGCTCACGTAATCCTGTGTTTGCGTCTATCTCGTATTTACTACTACATGACGTGTGAATTGGTTGGCTGGGCTAAATAGGCAATGATGTAGAAGTAGGCGTTGATCTTCTTCTGTAGAGGCGGTCTTTCATCGCACTATTACGCCATACTGTGACAAAATCCAAAACGAGTTGTTTTGCGAGCTTGGTTTCAATAAAAGCAGTTTTTGGACTAATGAGGAAGTTTTACGTTTTTTAATAGTACAATGGCCTCTTGTGTCAAAAGATCAAGGACAATTTGATTTCTCAATTCATGACCCCTTTAAAAACTCTGTTAAAGATCAAATAAGAAACATTTTCATTCTCAGAGCAGAGTTTGGTCATGTCTGAGCCCCTCAAAAAAATGGAATTAGCAATAACAATCTAGCAATATATCTGTTCAGTGAACTCCTCAAACATGCTGTTCTCTTAAAAATGGAAGTGTGAATATCAGGCTCATATCATGACTGAATTTTTCATCCCTGTCACTCATAAGCTCCCTCTCCTAATGTCTCAGATGCTGATTTCCAAAGGTAAGACACAACCCAACCCGTCTGTGCATGATCACTGTATATACACTAGTGCTGTGGGTACGATGGTTCATGTTTCCTAAATGTTCAAACCTTTTCTCCTTTTTCTGAAAAAAGTTGTGTCTTCCTTTTTAGAGGTTAAGTAAGGGATAATGTACATCCAGCCGGTGGTTCTCTCAAAATAACCCCCGACAGGGTGATGAGGAGGCTAGTCTTAATCAGCCTGAAGGGGGTTATTTTGAGGGAACCACCGGCTGGATGTACATTATCCCGCTTATTACACGGGTACTTGCCACATAAGTAAATAATTAGACACGAAATATTGACCTGAGTTGATTTTATTAGGTGTTTAAACGCAAAGCTTCCGCGAAGAGCAGTTGCTAGCGCAGCAAGTTCAAACTAGACGGACATTTAAGAGATACGATATACAGTCATACCGCTTATTACACAGCATTTCGCCACATAAATAATTATTGGGATAAGATATATTGATTTCAGATTAAACTGTTTTAAATTCTTAACTGTTTGTATCTTATAATCCAACAGTGTACAAAACAATATTCACAAAATGGCAGCAGCGTCGTTTGTATGAAACGAGAGAGCGAGTCCACGATACTGGATGGCATAATTAAATAACTGTACACAAAATATTGATTTGACTGAGTTTTAATACTTTATTAGCTCACCAAATACAAAACTTCCACTAAGAAAAAAACGTTCCTAGCGCTGTTGACTTCAGTAACCCGGATGATATGGAGCGAATTATGTACCATAATTAAACAAACAAAAATTATTCTCAAACAAACTCCATCTGCTTTGCAAAGAAAAACTCGAATCGCAAACAAACTCCATCTGCTTTGCAAAGAAAAACTCGAATCGCAAACAAACAGAAAGCAATGTGCAAAAACAAAGGTCAATTTGAGCGAAAATGCAGTGGAGTAACCAATATTGTGTTTTTCAAATAAAAATAAATGAGCCTAGATAATGGGTATTTCACAAATAAATACAAACCATCCTACAAATTGCATAACCTTTGAACAAATACCAAATCTAGTGCATACAAATCTGTCTGTTATGATTGTGAGATCTCTTGGCTCGATTTTCTCACAAATGCAGATGAGTAACTTCCTTTTCTAAAACAGCAGATGGCGCTAAAATAGGGGATTAATTTAGCGCTAGTCTCCCGGGAGAAGCACTGATTTGAAACGTGCTTGCCTTTGCCTACAGCTGAGGAAAAAGTCTCTGTCTTACTTTATCTATAATAAACATCTTGAGGTTTTCTTGAAGGTACTCATCTGCATTTGTGAGAAAATCTGCCTGGACACATTTGTGAGAAAATCGAGCCGCGAGATCGTAACAAACAGATATGCATTTGTTATGCACTAGATTTGTAGATTTGGACTAGAACACACTATCGGTTACTCCACTGCATTTTCGCTCAAATTGACCTTTGTTTTTGCACATTGCTTTCTGTTTGTTTGCGAGTCGAGTTTTCCTTTGCAAAGCAGATCGAGTTTGTTTGCAATATGCTGGATTTGTTTGTTTAATTATGGCACATAATTCGCTCCATAGGATGAGCCTGCGTTATCTGTTTTGAGCGGTTGTTATCTGGGATTAATTTACCGCTGGATGGCGCTATTGACCAATCAGAATCAAGTATTCCACAGAGCCGTGTAATAATGATAATTCAATAATTCCAGGCTTTACAAAGGGCATCTTTCTAAAAACACGGGCATCATGAGGGATTTAAGCTATTTTTTTCCTGGGCATTTTAGCCTCTGTGTGCATGTTTGTGTGTATTTGTTGAGAATGTTAAATGCATGGAAAAGCATGATTTCAGACAGGTCAACTCACTGGGATCAGATAGTCATGTAAAATAATGACTGTCAAAGTTAACGCATACAGTTAACGAAATGTATTTAACGCTCTTTTTTTGTTTTTAAGTCTGATATTTAATTTGACCTCTGTTTCATTCTGTCCTGTGTGAATCTGAATATTCAGTCCCTAGTAGAACTCAGTAATGGTTCTCAGTAAATTCTGTACAAACAATATTATTTATTTATAAATCAAACCTATGTAGGATGTTCAACAAAAAGTCTAGAGCGATTATAGATATGCACACTCCATTACGAGTTTCAAAATTTCGCATTTTTATTTAGTTTAAATTGATGTATTAAGAAAAACGACTAAAAAGGAAATATATTTTTTTTAAACTACACTTTTTTTAAAAACTACTGAAATTAAAATGAAAATGGAAAATATAATCATAAAATCTAATTCAAAATATTAATAAGACTAGGGATGGCCCGATACCGATACTGGCATCGGGGATCGGGCCGATACTGTCCTAATATACTCGTACTCGTACTCATAAAAATTCGCCGATACCACGCACCGATACCACGTACATTTTGCAAAACAAAACTGGCCGCCGCGAGTGCTTTGTCGAGGTGAACTGAGGCATAGGAAAGTATAATGTCGGCGGTTTGGGCTCATTTCAAGATAAGGGATGATGACAACAGCAAGGCAGACTGTGAGTTATGTTCAGCTAAGGTGTCGAGAGGAGGGAAAGAAAGTACATCGTTTAACACCAGCAATCTAATTAAACATCTGAAGACGCATCATAGATCTGATGGCCGAGCGCGCGCGCGGGCGGTAATGCACTCACTCTGTGTGTGCGGGTTACGGGAGAATAAAACGATTCGCGGGACTCCCGCAAACTAGAAATATCTATGAATAAAACATAAAAACTAAAAGATTTTTATTCATCTCTTGCAGAAAAGCAACAAGAACAACTACAACAAAATAGAAACGATTTACAGGACAGAGTTTCTATTCATAACATGGTTACAGCGTTGAGCGATGTAGCCAATCACAGACATATGTGTTGATTTCTGGAACGCAATGGCCAATCAGAAGCATTTAAGATAGACTCCCCTCACCGCTCAAAACGGACTTTTTTGTTCAATGCTGAATTCTGTATGCTGGCAAATCCTCTAATTATAACAAACAAAGTGTGGATATTATGAAAGATTGATTGTGCAGTCAGCTTCATTGATAATAACAGAGATGTGTGAGATCGCGATGAACTGTCAGCTTTTAGAATTTATTAAGCGAGCGCACTTTGCGCGCATTCAGTCATGCCAGACCATGCACGCAGTAGCCTGCTTGCTTTTATGTTAAATTAACAGTGGTTTGTGTGTTAATACATTTATTATTTTACTAATTTTTATTTATTTTTAGACTTGTTAAAACAAGCAGAGAAGAAAATAAAAACAGTCTTCTAACCTGTGTTCTAAAATAGTCGTCTTCTTTTCTGGGAGCCTAATACTTTTGCGGTAGAAATATCGGTATCGGTACTCGGTATCGGCAAGTACACAAATGTAAATACTCGTACTCGTATCGGTTTGAAAAAAAATGGTATCGGGCCATCCCTAAATAAGACTATAATAGTATCTCAATGATACAAAAATAACACTGGAAGGCACTCACATAAAACATCTTAGGTTATGAAGGTAACCTTTGGTTGCCTGAGAAGGGGATTGAGTCACTGTGTCTTTATCAGGATGTCTGAAGCACGTGTGTACACACGACAATTTCATTGGTCGATGACTAATTTTGTCCTGAAAGCTCCTGTCAGTATAAGACGGCACCTGCAACGTACTTCATCAACTTCTTTTTCTGAGGGAGACATGCAGGCAGGCACGAGGCATGGCAACGAGTTGAACCATAGTTGAGACATAGATGTAACCTAAGAAGTTCCCTTTTGAAGTCGAACTCAACACTGCGTCTTGGATTGGCGCTATGGGGAACAAATACCCACTCCGCTAACAAAAAGAAAAAAAAGTGGATGACGCACATTGCAGACGCACATTGCAGGCACCCTCTTATACTCACGGGCGCTCCGGCGATGATGTCATGGACTGTCGTCGGCCAGTTAAATTGTTGTGTACACCATAGTCTGTATAAAACAATGGACGTAGTGTCCATGACGTCACCCGTAGGTTTCTTCTGAAAAGCATTTGTGAAGCCCAAAGGGGGCGGAGCCAGCCGTCGCCATCTTGGCAGCGCGTCACTCCCGGATAACCGAAAATGGGCAAAGAGGCGGGAATAGCTGAGGTGGCGTGACGGCTAACAGACAGCAGACAAACGCTAGTAGTGAAAGCAGCGGCAATCCACCTGTCACTCAAGTGACCACGCCCTTTATTATGCAGAACTTTACGGCTTAATATAATTTAAACCGATGAGTTCTAAAAAAAAATCACCCCACTCACAGTTGTCATGAAGCTATAAAATTAGCTATATAGACCAAAACCACTTTTTGTACCAGGCTGTAAACATATTTTTTTCTGCTGTAAAGTCGGGCATATTAACATGGGGGTCTATGGGATTGACTCTCTTTTGGAGCCTGTCTCTAGCGGCCAGTCGATGAATTTTAGTCAGCAGTTTAATTCACTTCTGTGTTGGAATCAAGAGAGAGACCGGAAGGTTGCCGCTTGGTGTGTACACACACGTGTTTCAGACACCGGTCACACTGATTGCGTTCCCTGTAGCGTCAATCCAAGATTCAGTGTTGGCTTCCACTTCAAAAGGGAACTGTACGTATTCTTTTGCTCCAAGAACAAACTCGTGACTCACTGTTTCTCGTCAGCTTTTCAACTATACATTTTTTTTTCTCATGGTGATGTAAATCTTTCTCTATTATTCTTCAGCTCAAAAGTTGTGGGTGCCATTGGACGCAAGCGAGGTGATGAAGAGAAGGAGAAAGATTTGGATAGAGAGACGAGTTTGTGAGTTCATGTATTTCAAAACACAGTATCGTGCCACATGACAAGCACCACTATATGCTTCTGTTCTGTAGGTCTGTGTGTGCCAGTATGTGCTAAGGCACCTTGTTATATTTACATATTTTTTATGTGGGGGGAGGGGGGGGGGGGGGGGGGGGTGTGGAGATGCCGGCCACAAGGAGGATTGTTGGGTTGTGTTTAACGGTCCAATTGTAGTTTCACCTAAAGGTTACTTTTGTTTTCAACCAGGTAGAGTGTATTTTGTATGTTTTATATTTTTTTTGACTGTAGTTCCTATTGAAATTCCTTGTCTTATAGCCTGAATATGTTTATTGTATACAATTCATTCTCTTTTTATTATGCATAAATGATACATATTCATTTGTGGGCATAGTTAAAATATCATAACCGGAAGAAGCAATTTCTGACGGAAGATGCAAAAGGAGTTCTGTCAGCTTTTTCAATGTCTGTGCGATTACGTCAAAATGTTCTCCACACCACTAAATAAGATACTTGATGTTAACATTTGCTACTTACGAACAGTGACCAATATTTTTTTAAGTACTTTTATGAAGTTTTCCCATTTTGTGAATTTTATTGTAATATTTCCCTAAAAACACAAACGTACAGTCCGAGTGCTCTGTGCTCGTTTTAACATTTTCTCTCGAACTTCTTGATATGAAACACATCCATATTCATAAATTCACTGGTTGTTCTGACTGTTTTTTATTTGATTTTTGAAGCTTTCTCATTTTGTGTAGCACTGAACCATGCAAATAATAGTAAACATATATTTTGTTAAAACGTTGCAAATAATATAACTGTATAGTGTTGTTTTCACAATGTTTCTGAGTGACAGGGCATGTGTCTCCTCTACAAGACTCATTTACAAACCGAGAAAAGAGACCTCATCGCTCGAACGAACGAATTATACTATTACTGCCGATAATACAAAAATCATACAAGAAATGCAATAATATTCCTTTTAATAAGAGGGGCATTATACCATGTACAAACCAGAGACGAATCTAACATTAATCTTCAACACATGTACATGTGATTCTGTATTTTGTCAATGTGTATCATTTTAAATAACAAAAGTTATTTAATGTGTGGATAGATTTAAATATGTATAGAGTGGGAAGAAATGAATGTTTTCATGTTACTGTCAGTGTTATTACAATGTTTTGCCATTTTTGAGGTTGGTTGACGAAACTACGACACGCACATGTATGTCATGCACATGTCGGCAGTACAAAGTTCTGTTGACTTTACTGTAAAATAAGCATTTCTTCCTGAACAGCCACTGTTCTTTGTTAAATTATTCATTCAAATGAACATATATCGTTACAACTGTGAGAAATTTTCATCAGAATAAATGTAACTGCAAATAAACTGACACTAAAGTGTATTTTTGTAATGGTTTATGTTGACATGACAAAGCTAACATACTGAAATTCTGTATTTAAGCTTCTTCTTCTAACACAATTTAGTCAGTATGTCCTAATATGTCCTAGTATGTCCTTTTATGTCCTAGTCAGCTTTAAAGATAACTGGTTGCTACAGTATATCTTTTCGGATTGGATTTAGGCCTATCATGGTTTTCGTTAAATGGACATTCATAGACTTACTTTGAGGTGGTCAAAACTTTTTTATAATCACTCTAAAGCCTAGCAACTACCTTAGTACATGTTAGCAAAAATAAATTGCGGGCATCAGGGAGTTTATGCGGGAGACTCCTGGAATTTCCGGGAGAGGTGGGATGTCTCATTCATGCTAGCATGTTAAAACATGTTAGCAATGTGCTAAAACATGCTAGCAATATGCTAAAACATACTAGCAATATGCGAAAACATAGCAATTGGTAAGACATGCTACCAACATGCTAAACCATGAATATGCTAGCAAAATAATGCTAGACATGTTAACAACATGATAAACAATGAAAAAACTTGCTAGGAAGCTTAGTGCTTAAAGAGTAGGCCTACGTTGCTTTCGAGTCGCTACACATGAAGTCGAACACACATACTAAGGTAGGGTAGGTGATTTTCAGAGAGGCTAGCAATAGCAAGTTAGCTGATGTTAGATGTGGTGTTTTTAACATGTTAACTGTCACCCCCCTTTTTTTTTGCATAGACATAAAAATCACTATCCAAACTTTAATGGTTGTAATTCAGGAATGCTTTGGAATATAGACCTATGGCTGGTATTGTTTTAAAGAAGGCATTTTCCAGATTATTGTAGAAGTTTAGAAATTATAAAAAATGAAACAGAAAAAAAGTTATATAAGTTTGAGTTTATGAAATTGTGTAATGTAAAAATTTAATTATTAATATTTTATATAAAATATATATATTACAAAATATATTTTACTCTAAAACTGCTAGAAAATTAAAGACAAAAATCTGAACAAGTTGTATTCCAAATTTTAGGTTGATATCTAAAAAAATGAGCTTTCAGTAAGATTTTATTTGGGCGCAGTACCCAACTTTTTCACTAGACTCCATTACTGCCCATATAAGGGCGCCTCCATTTTCATATATGTTTTGAGTGATCTGAACCATGTATTTCCATAATTTTCATACAATTTATGAAGTAGACATCCTATTCAGAAGTAGTATGGGTGGTTTGGAAGTATTTGATTTGAATTCAACCTCTAATAAATGCATAACTACGTTATAGCGTTATAGCTCGCAGCCAATCAGAAATCGAGAATCCATACATTTTTCTTTATATTTAAAACATTTTCAGACCTTTTTTTCTCATAAAATGGAATTGGTGTTATCTTTTGAACTCATGGCATGAAAACAAACTGAGGTTTCTACCAATCTTTCATGATTTTTCGTGTTTATTGTTATTTCAAAATAAAGGCCTAAATACTCCTAATGAATATGAAATATTCTTGTTGCAAATTGATAAATTACTGCTCCTCTGTAATTTATTTTAGATAACAGCCACCAAATATGAAATACGGGCCCATATGCTTTGAGACAAACCATGTGAAAATTCATATCATAAGTCAACACAATTTCTGGTGTTTCTGAAGTCACAAACTACCTTGTAACCAATTACGTCAACGTGTGATCATCAACAAGTGGATCTCTAAGCTGGTGTGAGTGAGTGGAGGCGGGGATAATTAGCATATTCATAGAACAGCATATACTAAATGAGGTAAGGGTGTGGGTTACATTCAAGCTATTTTAAGGCATGAATATTTTTTTTCAAGGAAAAAACTTTTAAATATGTCAGTTTGGTGATCAAAGGTGAGTTTACCTGCCTGACACATCAGTGATGGCTACAAACATTTTATTAAAAACGGTGGCTTCAAAATTCACATTTAAGGTACGATCGTGAGAACAAATCTCTTATAGCCTAATGCTAAATCACAGGCTTTATTTTACTCATAAAATTTAAACCGATATTCTCGTGAAATCTCGAGGGAAGCTTCTGTTGGCAAATTGACGTCATGGCTGAGCAGCGTTTCCCCCCTTTCTTTTATCGGTTAAACATCTCAAACAAGTTAGAGCGTCCTTTTAAAGTATACATTTATATAAATTAACTGCTAAGAGATATGAAATGCAATGCAGCTCTTTTCTGTGCGTTAGATCTGCAGAGAGGATGGAGTTTTTATTTTATTTTATTCATTATGTTTACAAAACCGGACAACAATAGAAATAGCTTCCTGTTTATCTCTCGTCTCAACCTGGCTAATTTCTCGGGACTCCAATTGGTATGGTAAAAATTCATAACGCTGCAAAAGAGCATTCAGTGTGTAGTTTGAAATATCAGATCTGGTTGAACTAAATCAATGGTTTCACTGACAGGGCTTAGAATAAGCCAGGATTAGGCCTTATTTGTCTTATTTGATCATATAAGCAGTATTTTAGTCGATCGGCCAAAGCGATATTAAATATTTTTTGTACAATAGGCTTATGTAGGCCTATGTACAAAATGTAAATAGCGTGTTTGCTACATGATTGTCACAGTGCTCGTGTCGTGTCCAGCTGGAGGCGCCGCAGTTCAGGTTTCATGCATTGCTGTGGTTTGTTACTGTACCTGCAGCGCCACCTGCCGGTCAAACAGCAGTAGTTCAATATTTATTATGCTCTAAATTAGGCTATTACATGGTCTCTATGCAGTTATCTGGACATTTACTTTAGCTACCCTTCCCATTTCCAACAGTCTTGTTTTATGTAATTATTTTGGTATAAATAAATATACCAAATATTTTGAGTTAAACATGTACAATAAGTGTACATGTTATGGCACGAGCACAGATGGCGTCCCATCACTGAGCGTATCCAAGGAGAGGATCTGGCTCCCAAGGGCAATGTCAAGTAAGATGATAACAGCCCTTCAGCTCACATCAAAATGTGGAAAAGAGCCCAGCTAAGCCATGTGTGGATGCAGCTCCTCCACAAAATGTAAGTAAATAAAAATGGGAAAATGAAATGAATAAAGGAATATAATTTAACAATTGTACAGAATGCTATTTATGATGTTTATATATGGTTTGATATATGGAATTTATGACATTCCATATATTTAATTATGTTTTAAAATAATAGTTATAATAATAATTTAATGCATTTGTGTGGTGCAGATGTGTTAAGAAGTCCAATATTTACATATTTACAATTAATAACTATTACCTGCCCAATGCAACAAAAATACTATTTAAAAATGAATGCAAATCAATTACAATGTTCCGTATGATAATTACATGCTACATATTGCTTTACTCAGTTATGAATGTATTCAATTAATACCTCAATATAATATAATGTAGAATAATATTAGTTTTACATTTTTTTAAATATTTTACAAAAGATGCTGTTTGACTGGCTGTATGCAGGTACTGTAATAGTAGTAGTAATAATAATAATAAAATGTATGCATTTATGAATAATGTGTTATATTAATATATAAATAAGTTAAATATAAACAGTTATTAATGTAATATAATATTAGATTACATTTTTTTAAACATTTTACAAGAAATGCTGTTTGACAGGCTGCGTGTAGTAGTAGTAATAATAATGCATTTTATTTTATGCATCTATGAATATGTTCTTTTAATATATAAATAAGTTAAATATGAAAATTAATAGTGTACTGTAATATAATATAATATAAAACAAAAATTAAACACAAGAGATGCTGTTTGACAGGCTGTATTAATAATAATAACACATTTTATGTTATGCATTTATGAATAATACATTTATGAATATATAAATAAGTTAAATATTAACAGTTAATGATATCATATATATTATAATAATAAGTTTTAATCACTAAAACATTTTATAAGGGGTGCTGTTTGACTGACAGTAGAGGCTGCATGCATAAGGCTCCACTCCACTGAATCCATTGTTCCAGGTTTTGTGTGAGAGGATCTCCGTGTGTCTCTGAAGGCAGGTATAGCCTCCCTCTGATTCTCTTCCTGGTTCCCGACACACAGTCTTCGGGATAGAAGCCATAGAGCTGCTTTGAAGAGTCCAGCCAGCATCACTCCGGCGCAGAGATTCAGAATGAAGGATTAACATCACCAGAGCCCCTCTGCGACTCCACACTGTAGAACAAAAGAGCCGGATTCATCTCTCTGGTGTCTTCCATCGGAGATCTCCATCAAGGGCTGGGAGCGGCCGCTGGCTTTGTGAGAGCGGAGAGGAGAGGAGAGGAGAGGAGAGATTCACACCCTGAGATGCTCTGCAAGCTGGAGGAGGAAGAGGAGATGTCTCTACTGGAGCTTCAGCAGAGGGTGGAGTGTGTCCTCACTCATGTTGGTGAGTGTATTTGGGGTGTGTGTGACAGCTGTGGTTGAGCTTTTCCGCCGCTGATTCAGGGGCAATACATGAATTCTGGGATTTGGGGGAAACCTTGAGGTGAGGTTTGCGGGTGTTTCCTGATGGATAGTGATAGACACAAAGCTTGATCTTAGACCTCTTTTTTTTTATTTTACCATTGAATGTCATGTTATCACACGCAGAATGTGAACATGGGCCATTCAGAGCACAGATTTTAGGGCAGCAAAGTGACAAAATGATTTTTAATTTTATTTGTTTGTTTTATTAGCTGTATAATGTAAGACTTAATTTTTTGAGGTTATGGCAATGTGTTTGCATAGGAACCACCAGCTTAGTAACGTCTGGCGCCTGTTTGTTTCGGAATCACATTGTTCAATTAATTTGAAATATTTTCAGCAAAACTAGAAAATAAAGAAAAATGCATATTTTAATAGTTTTTTAAATTTAACACATATTTGTTTGTACTTTTAGATTTAAATAGTATACTTATAATAATAATATTATTAAATATTATATAATATATTTAAAATTTGCCACTGCATTACCTGCCCAAAGTACCAACATTAATATTTAAAAAAAATAATTACATCGTTCAATATGAATAATATGACGTATTATATAATCAATTTATTTATTAATAATATATTATATTAATATATGGATACATTAAATATCACTAATATTTTTATATAATATAATAGTAATTATAGTTAATTATTATTTGCCGTTTGTCTATTACAGTACAGGCTGTATGCATAAGGCTCCATTCCACTGAATCTGGTGCCAAAAGCAGATCGAATCATTTCATTTTATTACTTTTTATTTTAAGGTTATGGTAATCTCTTTGCACATGAATTACCAGCTAATCAGTGGCATCTAATGAGACTATTTGTGTCAGAATCACATACTCGTACAACATTCAATTATATATTTCAAAATTCAAGAAAATAAATGCAGCTTATGGGGGAATTCACAGCATTATGTTCAAAATCAGCTTGTATAAATCTAGCCGAATAGGAAATCTCGATTTCCTAGAGCGTGTATAATATTTCAAACGGTGGCATCAAAAGCACAGAAATATCCATGTGCTTCCCCGTCCCGGTGAGTGAAGTAGGTTATTGTGCCATGCTGCTGTTCCTGCTGTCCCGCATGAGAGAGAGGCACTGCTCGCCCCCACTGCAGCCCTTAGGCGACGTCAGGCCGTTGCCATGGAAACTGAGATGGGCCAGTTCAGCCATATTGATTCATGGAGACACTCCATGCTTTAAACACGCAGCCCCTGCTTCCTAAGTTTATTATCCGCATTATAACACACACCGCTGCTTCAGCTTTCCGTGCCGTGCAGGCCTTTTTAAACAATGATTAAACCGTTTGCTTTCGCTTCGCCGCTCTGAGCTGCACTTTGGAAGCTTGGAATATCCAAACGTTGCAAAAAAATATTTAACGTAATGGATGGCCTCTCAAACCTGCCTTTGGTTTGGAGTAAACAACATAAAAATAAAAGAGTAAATGCATTAGCGTCATCTCCGGCGATCCATCAGAGTATCGGCGTCTGAGTGAGTCACAGATGTGACCATCCGGCCCTCGATGACTAAACACTGAGAGCTTCTGCTTTTTCATTGGTCAGCTGTGATCACATCACTCTCATGTTCATTTTAAAGTGGTATACTGCACCGTTCTGGATCTGTATTGCATTGCTCATGAATATTTAACATGCCAGATGAGCAGTCAAGCGTTCTATATAATAACAGGATCTGGCCTGAGCGGAATGTGCTTTTGCATTTATTAGCTTATATCATTCATTTTTATATTAGACCTTTGACCATTTTTTGATTTGAGTAAGTTGTTTTAGGAAAAAAAACAAAAAAAACATTGTACAAGTTAATTCATACATACAGTAGATACTGTAGCTATATACACTACCGTTCTAAAGATGAAAAAAAAGTTTTATTCTGCAAGGACGTGTTACATTGATGAAAGGTGACAATAAAGGCTTTCACTGTTACAAAATATTTCTATTTCAAGTAAATGCTGTTCTTTTGAACTTGCTATTAATCAAATGATCACAGTTTCCACAAAAATATTAAGTGCTTTCAACATTGATAATTGTAAGAAATGTTTCTTGAGCATCAAATCCTCATATTAAAATGATTTCTGAATGGTCACGTGACACTGAAGACTGGAGTAATGATGATGAAAATTCAGCTTTGCATCACTGAAATCAATTACATTTTTAAATATATTCAAATAGAATTTTTTTTAATCGTAATAATATTTCACAATATTCGTTTTTTGATCCAATAAAAGCAGCCTTGGTGAGCATAAGAGACTTATTTCAAAAACATTAAAAACTCTTTTCCGCCCCCAAACTTTCGGACGGGAGTGTAAGTATAAAAAATATAAGAGACATTGGAGTATATTTAATCTCCATCCCCTTTTATTAAATTTGAAAGATGATGAATTTCGCTATTTTTTTATTTTATTTTGTTGATGCTAAACGCAGTACAGGTTTGATGTGGAAAAAGTTTATAAAACACACAAGAACGAGTTAACAACGTCATGTTGCTGCAATTGCTATGATGTTAAAACAAACCTGATGTATTAAAGGTATCGGATCAAAACATTATAAAGACCTTTTCATGTCCTACAGCATTGTTTTACACTCCACAAAACAACACACACACTATCGGTCAAAAGTTTGGGGTCTGTACGATTTTTAAAAAAAAAATTGTAAAGAAATCTCACAAAGGCTGCACTTGTTTGATGAAAACACAGTAAAAAAGTAATACTGTGAAATCAAAATATAATTGTCTTCTTTATTTATTATATTTAAAAAAGTAATTTATTCCTGTGATGGCAAAGCTGAATTTTCAGCATCATTACTCCAGTCTTCAGTGTCACATGATCCTTCAGAAATCATTTTAATATGAGGATTTGATGCTCAAGAAACATTTCTTATTATTATCAATGTTGAAAGCACTTAATATATTTTTGTGGAAACTGTGATAATTTTTTTTTCAAGAAACATGTTTATTATTATTATTATCTCTTATTATTTAATTAATTTATTATTATTGAAAACAGTTGTGCTGCATAATATTTTTGTGGAAACCATGATCATTTTTTTCAGGATTCTTCGATAAATAGAAAGTTCAAAAGAATTAAGAAAATCTTTTATAACATTATACATGTCTTTAAATGTCAATTTCATGTCAAATAAAACTACTTTTTAAAAATAAAAATAAAATCTCACTGACCTTAAACTTTAGCATGGTAGAGTATGGTTGTAAAATATCAGAACTGAATACAACTTCATGTGTAAATCTTAAAGAGACCAACCCTTATTTTATGCTTCAGAAGTTAGACATTTTTCAAGAAACTGTATGCCTAAAATATAAACAAATAAAACAATAATTATTTCTTACAGTTTTGTCTGTTCATTTATGCTTCAAATGCAGTTCCTGACTGCATTTGGGTTGTGACATAAACTCTTAAAATTCTATAAACGGCCTCAAATCCTTGAACTTGTCTTTGTTGCGAGCTGCCATCCGCGTGACAGCATCTCCAAAGACTTGGACTCACGATAAAACATAAAAAAAACAGCGAGTGGTGACGCTCAAAGGTGAACAATAGGAAGGTCATCGTACTTCCTTCCCTCCACACCACCCCTGTCTCCCTCCATCTGCTTTTGTTCTCCTCTGTACAATCCCTGGAACAGCTGCACTGTTAAAATCAATATTCTATATTCACACTCCCTTTCTTGACGTTTTCTCAGCTAAAAGAATCCATTAGATCTTCAATCACTAAAGCTTTATTCATATACTCGTCCTCTCTCATTGTGCTGATGTGTGTTTTGCAATCTTTCTCACCGATGCTGGACCCTACAGAGTGAGAACGATGATTTAAAGATAGTGAAGCGTACAGTATTTGTCACTATATGACATCCATGTTAGATATACCACACACTGAGATCCTCTTAAAATAGAGCCCAGTAATCAGATTACAGCAGATACTGAGATTATCTGCAAACACACACTGGTGGTGTCATAATCTGACACACATTCTCAACACACCTTGTACATCTGTTGGTTTTGTCTCATACTGTAAGTACTAATGGTTTCAGATTGGAAGTTCTTAGGTAATATTTGATTTTTGGTGTGTTTTGGGTGGTTGCCAGTGTGTTGCTATTTGTTTGCTAAAGTGTTCTGTGATGTTGCAGTTATAGGGTCCATAGACAGGGCTTGGGTCTCTCCTTCAATCTAAGATCATGTGTGTGTCCGAAATTGCATACTTTTAGAGTATTTATGAAAGAACTTGCTTCTCAACCATTATTGCAGTGTTTTAGGAATGCAGGTGTGTAGAATCCCACGCAGGACTGTTACGGCCCATAACCAAATTATATAGCTCGTTTCAGTTTATAAAAATTAATAATGGATATGGGTTGAATATATAATCGGTCGGTCAGTCAGTCAGTCAGTCAGTCTGTCTGTTTAACGTTATTAATAATAATATATAAAAAAACTATGGCAAGTCAATAAAATAAAATTAAAAAATAATATAATGATTTCCAATGAGTATTTAGAATGCCATAATGTAACATTTGGTTCATTTGTTTTTAACAATAATGATAATAAAAATAAATGAATTATTAATGCCATAATGTCTAATTATATAATATAATATAAATAAAAAAACTATGCCAAGTCAATACAAAAATAAATAATAATATCATGATTTATGATGAGTATTTATAATGCCATAATGTCAGATTTGGTTAATTTGTTTATAATAATAACGATAATAAAAATAAATCAATTATTAATGCCATAATGTCTAATAATATAATATAATATATTAAAAAAAAAACTATGGCAAGTCAATAAAAAAATAATAATAATATTGTGATTTATGATGAGTATTTATAATGCCATAATGTCAGATTTGGTTCATTTGTTTATAATAATAATAAAAAAATAAAA